GTATCTATATCTGTGTCTAAATGGGGTAAAAAAATATCCCAAGACTTCAGTGTTATTTTAATGGCTTTTCCCAGAAGAATTTGTCTGGACTATCAAAATACCCTGTTGCCAAATGGGAGCTGAAGGGAAAAAATATCTATCTTCCTATCTTCTGGTTGTTGTTTAGAGACAGTGATTTGTGTCTTTGTTATCCATGGACAATAGGTCTACCAAGCATAATGCTATCAGTCTTCATAATTTGAATAATCTCAAATCAAAACTCACATGGATCATCGAAGTAGGCAACTGGTACTGTGTAAATACATTGCTGTCATGCACCAGTAAACTTCATCATGAAGCTAAAGCAAGTCAACCTTTTGTAATCACTCTCTAACTTACTTAGGTTGAGGGGCTGTACTGTAAACAGTAATCAGTGGTAAACAAGGTAAGATTATAGCTATAATCTATTTGATAAGCTAGAACAATGCCTGGCTCGCCTATGACCACCATGCAAGCTACCCTCTCTTCACTGTTCTCTGCAGTACCATTGCGCTGCTCACAGTAGTGAGTTACAATAAAAAAACCCCAAACTTTTAGGAGAAACTAAACCCCAGAGCCACTTGCTGTGCTGCAAAATGCTGCAAGGCAAGTTTAATTTCCAGAGCCTGACTTCTGTATTTCTCCAGCCAGTCCAATAAGGCATATCTTAGCTGTTTTGTCCAGCATTATGCATTCTTCTTGTGGGAATGCCATTCCTCCAGCTGTAGTGAGGCTCCTCAAGTTATGGGGCTTTCTGTTGCCATCAGCCATCACTCCTTTACTGAGCTGTACCCACGTACAAGTGGCGTTTAGTCACTTGGTCCCACTCATCTGAGCCAGATGAACTTTGCTGGACTGAGGCTTTGCAAGATGTGCTCCATGTTGTTAACTGATAGCAAGTCTCATTTCTGCCTGGGAAAGGGGATGGAATCTGAGAACTGCCCAACCTGTCTTTGCTAGTGGAAGGCTTTGTTTACAGCCTTTTGTCTCCTGTTGCAAAGGGCAGATGAGAAATGGGGTTAGGCTAGCCCAGTGTTTACATGACATTCACAGGAATTATTCACCTATGATTGTTATGGTGAGGTCATGTGCTGTGTCCCATGCTATGCTGCTGTGCCAAGAGATTTATTTTAATAGAAGCCTTTAAGTAACTGGCATTCTTGCTAATCATGGTGCATCTGCTTCTCTGGGTTCCCTGTTATGAGTGATTTAATGCTATTACTTTAGCTGGAAGGGATCTGTGTCACCATCTGTCCTGGAAAGCTATTGATGGGGCTGTGCAGAACATGGAGTGTCATCAGCCGAAGAGAGGGACTTCTGAAGGATGGCTGGATTTCCTGTTGTAATACAGTATAAGATGGTTTACTGTGATTACAGCTTAAATAACTTGCATATAAAGGCTGTTAGCTACTCTTTGATTTTGTTGGGGACCGTTCCTCAGGTATTTAGAGAGAGAGAAGATACTGTTGTCAGTTAACAGCAAGTAGTAACAACAGGGGTAATCTGCTAAATAAAGCATTTCTCACAGGGGCATGGGTCTATGAAGCTGAAACGTTCAAGACTGACCCTAAAATGTCTGCACAGTTGCCCCTTCCAGCAGACAACCCCTTTGGAGAGGGTTTGCATGCACTGCTCAAGCCAAATGCTGTCCTAATCGATGGTTGTTTTTTAATTGTTGTTTACAGACCAGTTCCTTGTAATAAGCTCTCTCCATGCTGTAGCTGAGTCACACTAGACATGAGAGGCTATATGGCTGGAAAGCAAATCGCTCTTCGCTTCCATAAGTGGTGTACTTTCCCGATACCCCTTCTACACAGAGTATCATCCTGGTCTCTCATGGGTGTGTGGTTGATGTCTTGATTTCTGTTGTCTGAGAAATGCATCTTCTTATTGTCTTTGTGACTGGTTAGTAATCGTGCTATTTACCAGCTAACCTGACTTTTTTGGTCCTTCCTGACCTCACTGTGGCTTGTTGCCTTCTCAGCAAGCTAACTGGTGAGTATGAGAGCAGGCAGGGCTGGGAAACAGCTTTGTGTGGGTTTATTGCGTGGAGTTTTTCTTTGCTCCTTCCCGCAAGATGTTATGTTGTGTTTTGAGTATAAATTGGCCTGACTCACAAGTCCTGGCTCAAAAGATAGGTTGGGATATAAACTTTGCAGCTCTAATGGTTCTGTCATGCAAAGGTGCAGCTCTTATTTCACATTCATCAATTAAATGTTCTTGCTGTTCCTTGTTGTATCTTACGTAGATCATTTGCCTAAAGCTTTCAGCTGGGTGAAGGAGATTGAGGGCTGGATTGGTCATCTGGAAAGCCTGAAGGAGGAAGCATGCCCTGCTCTCAGAATAGGGTTCATGGTCTCCTGCAGGTGCATAGAAGTGAATAAAATAACCAAAAATGAGAAGTAGGACACGAACTGACTTCCACAGTCTCAGTTAATTTGGGTTTTTCCCTCCTTCCTTCCCTCGCAAAGTGTTGGGCCCATAACACCGTGCCACCCATCACATCTCCCACGATCAGACAGCTCTGAGAAGCTGAGTGTTAGCTTTGCCAGGTCACGTAGAAAACCTGCTTGTGGAAGTAATGTAAAGAGAAAATTGGCCGATCCTCTGGGTTCAGCAGGGTTCTAGCTGTAGGACGAGAACCCGCCTTCATACGGAGAGATTTTTGCCCAAACTGTCTAAATGAGGGAGCCTGGCTTTGCTTTGAATCCTTGTCTTTAGTGTTCTCAAATGGATCAAGTTGAGGAGAAACCTCTTGCTTTGATCCATCTTCAATCCATCAGGTAACAGAGGAAAAGAGGGGATTTGGGAAGTGTATTAAGCAAGGATGACATGGCATTGCAGGATGGGCTTTAATAAAAGGGATCGTACTGCAGAAGAGCTCCCTGGCTGCTGCTTATCTGTTTAATGGGAGCTGAAGTCAGAATCAGCAGCAAAGGACCTTGAACCTTCAGACTTATGGTTATGGAAGCACTGGTCCCTTGCATAGCCCTCTGGAGAGCTTCAAGAGGTGGAGAGCCATAAGAGGAAGGCAAGGCATAAGGCATATCTCAGATGTCGCTCTGACAGGAAGAGTATGAAATTGCATTCTGAGAAAGAAAGCCTAGAGGGTATTTTTATCTATTTTCCTATCAACCGTGGCCATTAAATCTTCAGTGTTTTGCTTTTCTGATTCAGTACAAGTGTTTCTGAATCCGGGGTACCCACTTCTGTGTAAGTCGTGCTTGGCACAGCCCTAGGACGTGCCGAGTGCTCTTGGTGCTGTGGTTTTCTTTTGCAAAACCTCCTCAATAGGTTTTTGTCCCAGATGAGGACTTGCAGATTTGACTGGAATTGCTGGTAACCGTGCAACCCAGAATGGAGTTTTACATCCAGCTGGTGCACGACTCTCCATGTGATAACTTGGCACGAGGAGAACCCGTCTTTCCCCTCGTTATGATTTCCACGTGCTTCTGCCATATAATAAAGCTCTAGATCTCCATAATTTGTATCAACTCTTGGGAGCAGATGCTGTGCTATTATTTTGTCTGACACATTCACTGTGCCTGCTGGGTTCCTGCCTTTGCCGAGACCTTTGAATTAACCAGAGTTTTTTGGGTCATCAAGATTATTTAATGTTATTGTCATAAATATTTGCACAGGACTTGGTCAGTGCTTATATAAGAACTGAAAGGCAGTAATTTGTTTTAAGAGGATGTGTGTTTTAATGGAATGCCAGCTGAATGGTAGAAATCAGCTGTAAAAAACAGTGCTTTTCTTTCGCAGGGTTATTGCAGTTTGTGGGGTGGGAAAAATGCCTATTTAGGTTGTCAGTTACTGAGATTTGTTGGTTATGGCTGTTTAAACTTCAAATTGCTTGAAAGCTCTTTAAAAAGAGGGCTGTTTACATCTAAATAGCTGTGTTGGTTTATCAGCCTGCGCTCAAAAGATGAGAAGCTGATCTCTTGCATCTTATTAATCGTTTTCTGCTAAACCATGTTATCCTTTGTATTGTTTGCATGCCAAAACTGAGGAGCTGTTCTTGTGTTCTATTTCGCAGTTGCTTCTTGCATCAAATCCCTTTGATTTGTTCTGAATTTTGAAAGTCCTGTGCTCTCAAGTACAAACAATAAACCCAAAATACTAACAATGGTAATCTGTTGTTTGGAAATGGAGGAGGTTCCATATCATCCAATCTGCTGAGATGTGTTAGAAACGGATAAATGTTTGCTTTGCCTTCAGCTCCTCTTAGAAGCACCGCAATCAGTATTTATTATTGAAGGTATTTTTGCCAGCTTTCTCAATGAGGGACAGTCCTACAAAGAAGCCAAAATCTGGAGGCTGCCAGGGGGAGCTGTGTGCATTCTGGCAAACTTGGGTTGTTTCTTCTAAATATCTTAATTAGCAGAGCATAGCATCCAAGCTGTTCTTGGAGAGCTGCTGCCATGCCAGACCACAAGCAACAAGTCCCCAAGTCCTGGGGGTTTAGGTCATGAAGTAGTCTTCTGTGCTGTGATGTTGCACCGAGTGTGTGTGTGTGATCCTTCACGCTGATACCACACCACAAGGTTGGACAAACTCCCCTTTGCTATGTCACCTGCTGATGCAAAAGGTTTTTGTGCTGTTGGGTGGTTCACAGCTGGAGCCAAGGTTTGGTGTTCTGTGGGGAAGAGCGGTGTGTAACCTGTTACAGGAGCTGGAACTGATGTGTCATTAGGTCTCCATGCAAACTGTCTCTTTGTGTCCAAATCCAGTTTCTTTACAGGATCCATAATAAATCAAATCTCTGTTCTTGTGTTGGCCAGAGGAGCTTTTGAATCTTTTCCTTTATAATCTCTAGGTTTGGTAGTCTTACAGCTAGGGTGCTGCTACAGTTATGCTGTCTCTATGAAGCTCTGCTCAAAAGGAGTCCTAGAAACCATCCCCAGCATTCAGGGGCTTTGTAATCTTGGTACCTAAGACGCACCGAAAGGACTAACTTCCTGATGTATTTTCCCTTTCAGAAAAAGAGCAGAGAGGAGACATGTGGGGAAGGCAGTGGAGTGGAGATCCTGGAGAACAGGCCATACGTGGATGGACCCGGAGGCAATGGGCAGTATACTCACAAAGTGTACCACATTGGTATGCACATACCCAGCTGGTTTCGGTCAATATTGCCCAAGGCAGCTCTGCGAGTCGAAGAGGAATCATGGAATGCATATCCTTATACAAGGACAAGGTAAGCTTAGCAAAATGTCCAGAGCTGTTTCCCTATTTTAGAGAGAACATTTGATGTTGCTCTGTGTGGCAGTGGCATCTCTTCCATCTGCAGTAATGTCCTTTAGAGAAAGTGGGCTCGAGTCCTAAATTCTTACACAGTGCTTAATGTCAGGAGTGTGAGTGTTCCCTGGGCTGACTGCCTATGTGCTTGAGACTCTTGTGGCTGGTGGCTCTGAAATGTGAGCTGTTTTGTCCATCAAAGCGTGGGAAATCTTGAATAGTTTTTATTTAGGCTTGTATCCTGCACTGCATGTTCTCCTTAACACTGCAGATATCTGCTAGCTCAGTGAAGTTATAAATGTACACAGTAATGGGATAGTTGTCATGTTGAACACTGTCAAGAAAGACAGGATTCTTTTGCTCAAGATGGGGGGAAAGTGTGAGAGGAGAAAGCTTAATAAATAAATTTGGTGCTTCTTTTCTGGGAGCTGTCTTTACTGTCATTTAGCTAGAAAATAACAAACCTACATCTTATGGTTTTCACCCTGAGAAGGGAAGAGAGCCAGAGGCTCTGTGGAGTCCCCTGGGACCTGCTCATTTCATCTGATTTTGCCTGGAAGGACTTCAGATACCATGGAATAAATAGCATTTATGCCAATTACTGTGGTTTAGAGCATTTGCTCTTTTCTAGGTTTAGAAGCCTCATATTGCTGTCAACTTGCATAATAAAAAGGCTTTCATGGATATTTTTGTTTTCATCAGGTTTCATAGTTGTGTTTTAGCTGGTCTCTACAAGTATCGTTAGTCTGGGGAAGGGTGGGGAGACAGTGTCTGCATATGGGCAGTTGCTCGTGACTAAATATAATGGAGCTGTCTGAGTTTCAAGTGATTAAAGTCCACTTCCAGTCTGCTTTTTATCTATTCTCTTGAAATGCCCATGAGTCAATCAGTTGGCCAGGAAACCTGGCGCTGCAACAGTGCCACAGATTCCAAGCAAGAGCTCTGCTTTCCTCTGGGTAGAGGTGTATTTCCAGGGTGTCTTTGTATTAGTAGCTGTGTCCTAAGACAACTTGTTAGTAATAATAGACCCAAAAGTTATCTCCTTGCTGCAAAGTGGTCCTTTAAAAGCAATCTGTCCTGGTAGAATATCCTGGAGGAGACATTGCATGGGTTTGCCAGTGTCTCTGCAAAGTGACACAGCTTGGTGATCCCCTGGGGCTTTCTACTTGCCTGTTACCAGCTGGGAAGTTATCTCTTGGTCAACGAGGGTGCCCAGTCTGCAGTAACTGTGTGGGGTGCATTGGTACCTTCTCACCTGTAATCCATGTAACATCTCATGGGGAGCACACCCCTTTGCTCTGGGCTTGGGGTTATGCTAAGCCAGAGCTATTCCAGTGAAGCCACGTACCTGAGGCAAGCTCCTGTCTTAAAGAAGTTATTAAAGAAAATCTCTTGAATCTCTACTGTCATTATTTTAAGCATATCAGAAGTAAAACATGAATGAGGGCTGGCTTGGATTTGAGGTTAATTTTGTACATCTTAGGAAAGCGTTTTCTCTGCTTGCCAAGCCAAGCAGGATTCACTCAGCTGCATTGTTCTCGCTTTCAGGTATACGTGTCCTTTTGTGGAGAAGTTCTCTATTGATATTGAGACCTACTACAAAACTGATCCAGGAGACCATGTCAACGTGTTCAACCTTTCTCCTGCCGAAAAAAGACAAACCATTCTAGGTGAATAGCCTTTTTCTTTTATGTTTTCCTTTATTCTGCTCTTTCTTTGCTTAGTATATCCCATCCATCCCCCCCTCAACATACATCTGCACCACTGTTGGTGTCAGCCTGGGGGGTAGGGTTACATCAAGTGGAGTGAGGACACCTGAGTTCTCTTCTAGACTTGATGTAAATCACATGGAAATAATTTGAATCCCCATCTGTAAATTGAAGCTGATGCTTTCCTGTCTTATTTGTGCAGTTCCTGAGGGAAGTAAGTCATCTAATGATCTTGGGGATAATAAGTAGAAATAACTTCAGAAGAGGAAAATACTGCTGTATAATGGTGTAGCTCCTTTGCCTATTTGAAAATCATTCCTATCTGCACTTCTAAAACATGAAGGTGTATTTCATTTTTGCTTTCTCCCCTTTTAGTCTTGCCCTCATGCAGGTTAATGCTTCAGCTTCGCAGCTGTCTTTAGGAGATTCAGTTAATAAGCCTTATATATGTAAGGATTTAATGAGAAAAGGCAAAAGGAAACATCTCATAAAAAGGCAGAGAATGGCAAGAGTCAGCTCTTCCTCTCTCTTGCTCCATCGTGGTCCATGCCTGTGGCATTCCCTGGAGACCTGGCTGTATGGCAGTGACAGCCACGCAAGACTAAAAGCATCCCTTGCTCTGAAGCTGCTGAGGCTGGAGAAGTGTTGAGCTCAGGCTGGCTTCTGGCAGTCCTGTGCTATGCCTGAGCCCTGAGGAATGACATCTAGTGGCTGCTTTGGCTTCTGGAGCACTGTTGGTGTGTGGGACATGGCAGTAACCCCGTGCAGTCCTACTTGAGTGTTAGGTGATTTTAACTTTGAGTTGAACTTCAGTTTGACTGTCCTTGTTCTTCAGCCTATCTGATTGGGCTTTCAGTACTGAACAAATAGGTTTGAGTCATGCTGCCTCACTGAGAAGTGTCAGAAGAGCTGTTGTTTCTTGGGAAGTGTGACCCTGCCCTTCAATCCAAACTTCAGATGCTTCTCCTGAGGTCTGGGGTGGGGTTGCAGGTCTTTAAACTGTGTTCATTCACTCTGCTCCTATTGCAGTTTCCACTTCTCCATCATCGAAGTGTTAATTAGCACTGAAGTTAAGCTTTCTGCCTCCTGTAGCACATCTGGTCTAACAGTGGCATGTGAGGAGTTATCAGTAACCTCACTTGATGGACTCCAAAGATAAGATGTGCAGTGGGGAATGTCTTTTCCATAACAGGTCTAAGACAGGGCAGGTTTATTTAACCATCTCAGCCAAGACAGAGCTGTAGCACTGTGAGTGATATTAGAAAAGCTGAAAGATGGAATGTGCAAAAGATCTTTTTGGAGCTGGAAGGATGGAGTGTGCTGATCTGCCAGGGTGCTGGAGATCTGCTGTCACTGTGGGCAAGCACATTTAATAGGAGCAGAGCCTCTGTTTGCTGTAACAGCATACTAGTTCCTCTGGTAGAGCTGATCACTGCCCAGCAGCAATGTATAAACAATTTAAATATCAGATGTTCAAGTGTAATTAAAATGAAACGAAGTTGCTGCAATGCTTCTGGTGCTTACTGAAACAGAAAGAACTCCTTAAAAATGGTATTTTGTTCGGGAAAAAGAAATGTCTAACTGTTTTTTTCTCTTTCTGTAGACCCTATCGATATTGTTAAAGATCCTATCCCTCCTCATGAATATAAAGTCGAGGAGGATCCTAAGCTGTATAAATCAGTGAAGACTAAAAGAGGCCCCCTCTCAGAAGACTGGATTCAAGAGTACAAGAACAACCCTGGGAAATACCCCATCATGTGTGCATATAAACTGTGTAAAGTCGAGTTCAGATACTGGGGGATGCAGTCGAAAATCGAGCGGTTTATCCATGATGTTGGTGAGCATTTATAGTCTTGCACTGTTCACTGTCAACTCCTTAATGTTGTTTTTGACCTGAAACTCAAAGGTGAGGTCTGTGCAGTGTCTCACATCCCAAGAGATGGCTGTGAAGAGATTTTTAACTCCTTTGCAGAGCTGTGGGTCAGTTCAGAAAAAAACCCGTGTTATTCTATTACTTGTGGCATGTATGAATCCAAACCACATGTAGCCACTGGAAGGGTTTCAAGTCCTGTGTAGGCAACATCTTGCATTCTCTAAATCTGTTATCTAAATCCTTTCTAGATAAGCATTTGTCTGTTAAATTTTGCCAGATCGCTTTCAAAATCTGACAGTTTTCCTTATTTTAAACAAAATCCTGAAGGGCTGCTTGAAGAAAAAAGCTTCACTTCTGAGTCCTGAGTGATTCCAGAAACCACTCCTTGGAGCATCCCTAGTTTCTACCTGCCTTGTGATATGACTGGAGTGGCCATGCCTCTCTGTCCCCCACGTCGCAGTGTTCAGGGCTCCCCACCTCACTGTGCTGTGATCACCATGGGTTACTGACAGCTCTCAGTTGTGAGTAAACGTGCTGCTGTGAGACATCATTCTTGGGTCAATGCTTTTAAGGAGGTATTGTTTGTGTCCCAGAAGTAACTCAGTGGAGATGGTGCAGGTGTGGCAGTGCTGACAGCAATTTGTTCTTTGCAGAAAAATCTATAACACAACTGGTGTAGTTTCTGAGCCTTGCCACAAGAGACAGGATCTATGGCCTAAAGAATGAGTTAAAAAGTCATTCCCATCTCTGGAAAACCACAGAGCTTTGGCTGTCCTCTGGCAAATAATAGGCCAAGGAAAGGTTGTGTAAAGGATACTACCTGCTTTCTGTGCACAGTAAATCCTCCTACATGACCTCTACAGCTGTCCTTCCTAGACACAGGTCTTCTTTGAAGTGCCTGATGCTGGCGTACGTAATTTTATAGCTCCTTTCAGTCATACCATGCTCCTGAGCACTAATGTGGAAAACACTGATAGAGCAGTGAAGAAAGAATAGTGTGTTCACCACTGAATAATCACAGGCTGCTTTCTTAAAGCTCCCTTGGTTTTACTTTACCCACATATGGAAGTTTTTACCTCTTATAGACTGTGTTACAATTAGCTTTCTGCAATGAGCTCCCTTGGTGCTTCGGTGACGTGGGTTAACTTAGTGTGTACTGCAAAACATGAGGGCAGAATAACAACTCCATTGTATCTGTTAAATTAAAAAGAAGCATGTGACTCTTCAGTTGTTCAGAGGTGTTTGGCATAGATTAAACTGTGGTCCCTTAGAAACGTTTCTTTTGTATTTCATGAAAGATTGCCTGCCATTTTCCTCTTGAGTGAGGCTGTGTGGAGATTCGAGCCAGCTCATTGTCTGCCTTTCAAAAGACTTTCCACTCTGTTATAATGATGGCAAATACTGTTTTTCAAAGTGGTTAAGATGCATAAAACCAGAAAAGTCTTTAAGGCAAGACAAAGTTGAGTGAGTGAAAAATGAAAGCAAAAGCTTTGGATATCTACAGAAGATGTGTAGCTTCCCTGTGCAGTGGGATAGCCATGGGAAAGCCATTAGTGAGCTGGAGAAGTGCCTTAGCACATGTACCAAAGACAACGAGGTATGAGGATGTTGAAGTGAAAAGATGTGGGCTGCAACGTGACTGCCCAGGCTTACATGCTGATCCAAGTCTGGGGATTTCAACTCCTGGCAGAAAGCAGATGGAGAACTTTGTGTGTTGTGCCACCAGTGGCCCTCAGGTGCCAGAGTTGTTCATGGCATTCCCAGACTCTCCTTGGCGTTTTCCTCCTGGTTCCTCTGCTCCCAACTCCTGCAAATTGTTTCTTAGGGCATTAGCACACTCTGGGCAGGGTCACTAAGCCAGCAAGAAAACAAAGGCAGAAACCAAAAGCAGGATCCAGACTCTGCCCAAGGTGGTGAAGCAGTACTTACAGCTCAAACTAAAATTAGCGAATGGGTAGAATGAAGAACTCATCTGAGTTAAGTGATGGATGGATGGTGATACGGAGAAAGGCTGCTGAGCACATAGGGAGTAACTCTGGAGGATGGTGTTGAAACGTTCTCAGGCTTACTGAATGCAAGAGCCATTTTTTCTGATGACTAATTGGGCAGTTACTCAGTGCTGTGACAGCCTGAGACACAGACTGAAATTGTGGGCTATTAGTCTGCTTGGCTGTAATATTTGTATGCTTTTTTACTCCTTTCCCATAGAGTTTAAGTTTAATTGGACTGGCACTGCATAATGTTCTGCTCCCACTTGCTTCCTAAGGGTGCACGTGGGCTTTGGTTCTTTTGTTGTTACACAAGTGTGTTGACTATGTATGGATTATTGATTATACACTATGGCAAAGTGTGTTCCCATCCCGATAGCCAGAGCTTTGTCTAAGCCACTGTGTCTTAGGCTAAATATGCCCAAATTGTTGCACAGTGATGAAGTGGAAGTGGATTCAGAAAGCTTTATTGCAGAACTTTTGCTTCACTAAAGCTCTAATGAGAAAGTTCATCAAGAAGGGCACTGCCCATTGGGGCCTGCAGGTAGAGTTTTGTCTTTTCAAGGGTAGGCAGGTTGCAATTTAGCATGATGTGGGTGTGACCACAGGCTTTTCTTTGTGAGTGGTCTGAGCAAGGGGGGGTAGGGAAGCAAGCAGCTATAACTGCAGGTTGTCTTTGATCAGATATACTCAGATAACCAGAACTGTACTGACAAAGTGACTGATGGGGTCTGTAGTAGCTGTCAGTGAAATAGTGTTGCACAGGGAAAATCAGGCATCCTTTATCTGACAGGAAGTTGTAAGAGTGTGTTAAAAAATGCTTTGGGATGTTACTACTGGGTACATAGTTGATGGGTATCATAACAGTTGGGTTTGGGGTTTTCAATATGTTTTGGCTTTTTTTGCATCTAGTTTTTGTTACATGTACTGGTTTTACTTCATATTGAAAACACAAACCCAAACTATAGACAAAAGCTGTTTAAATTCAGCTAAAGAGCCCTTTCTGTCCTGGTTTGTCTCATGGTCGTTTGTGCTTCCTTCTGTAAGATTAAGTTCAACACCCCAGCCTGCAGCAAATTATTTACAAGAGTCATCACCTCACGGATTCAAGCACTCCAAGTTGTTGAGGTGCTGAGTTGGAAGGCAAGTGATTTAAATGTTTGCACCCTGCTAGACTCCTCGGGGGTGATCCTTCTGCACAGCGCAGTGGGAATGGTATAATTAAATCAATGCCACAATCAAGGGTACTTCTGAACTCAATCTGCACATGCACATTTGTGCATGTGTGGTTTCCTTGGCTTTCTTCTTTTAAGCTGAAGCATTGTGCACTCCAGAGAAATAATAGTCTTGTTAACTACTGATATTACTGAAATCAGCTGGTACCTGCATCCTGATATAAAACCTCTGCTCATTATTTCTGATTGACCTCAGTGTGTGACTTGCCTGCTGAGACTGTGTAGTTATCCTCCAGTTCTGGGAAAGAAGGCTCAGATGAGCGTGGTGCAGGCTGTGTGGAGGGGGAACAAAACCCACTCTAAAATCCTCTCTGATGTCTCCTCCTTCACACCAGGGATACCTCCTTATGAGACCAAACTACTGGGTTTGTTTTGCTCCATGGGTGAGAAGGGAGCACCCATCCCACTGCAGGAGGTGGCAGAGGGGGTATGGAGCCCCAAGCCTCACCTTCACTGGGCTTGTTGCATTCTGTCCAACCTGGGATAAGGTGACCAGTGTGGGATGCTGTACCCACCCTGTCCTCCCCAGCCAGCTCCCACAGCCGAATGGGCTGCAGCCAGCCATGAGGCATGGCTCAGAAGCACAGTGTGTGGAATAGGGACTTCTTGGGCTGAGCACAAGACATCTGGATCACAGATACCTTCAGCACTGTCCCAGTGGGCATCTCTAATCTGTTAAAAAGAGATTATTTTTCCCAATTACTCTGTTTCCTGGGTCTGATCCGCCTTCTCCTTTTCACTTTTCAAATAAAAAGCTTGTTTTTCTCTAACATTTTGATTTAACAATGCTGTAAAACTTGATTTATTTTTTTTTCCATTGCACAAGGGGGGGAAGCAGTGTCTGGACAGGGGAGATCAGTCATTTGTAGCAGGGTCTTGGATCCATATAGCTGCATGGGGGCACTCAGTGTGTCCTCTTGGGTCTCTGCTGCTTAGTAGAAGGCTTCAGCACTGCAGTCTGAAGGTTATTAATTCAGAGCTATGCTCACTGCTGTGCACTGAGGGACTGCTCAAGTTTTCCATCCCTATCAGTAAAGGGTTTCTTTCTGAAAGCCATGACTTCTATTTTTCAATTTCTTTTGTACCTGGACAGCCTCTTTCTATTCCAGGCTTTTTCCCTGTGTTAAAGAGAGATGCAGCATCTCCAACACACCCCAGGTGAAGGCCAGAGGCTAGGAAAACAGTCTCAGTCTTTTTGACTCCATACCTCGTCTGGAGTGATAGAGGTACAACAGCCATGAAGCTCTGTAATGCCATCCTGTTTTCAGACAAACAGGGCTTTAAGGAAGGGTGATTTGGGATGTGTGATCCAAGTGATGCGAGCAGTGCAGATGGGGAGGTCTGAGGGCTGGGAGGAAGCAGTGCAGGTGATTTTTTGGATTAAGTGGAAGAAGGCAGAGGGGAACTTCAGGATAGTTTTACCCTCAACTGTTTTTCATGTTCCCTGTGATTTAGTCCATTAAAGCAAAGATGTGCAGTAGCTGGTGCACTGATAGTCATCAAGGCTGGATCTAGGAGCACGAGCAGAGACTGCTGAACCCTGGAATGGAGAAAGCCTTGAGATGAGAGCGAGGGGAGCATTTCCTCCTGTGTCTGATCACAGACTGTTTCCAAGCTGTTTCAAGCCAGGTAGAGGTGGGCATTGGTTATGTGGAAGCCCAAAGGACAGTTGCGGTGTTGGGCGCTGAATTACAGCAAGGGAAGTGTTTTCTCGGCTTTCAGTTTGGATGTGATGGGAGGTTTAATCTTCTCCTTTCAGCTCTGCTGATTGTCTGTCATAACAGGAGGTGAAGAGGCTAAAACATTCTTCTGTAGTTCTGCAAAAAGTAATCTGGTGGAGGAAATAACTCTGAATCTCAACTAAGTTTGAGCAGAATGAAGTTGACGAGACACCTTCTTCTGCCCCCAGAAGGTCACAGTCTGCTGGCTCAAACTTGCCTCTCCTACATGGAGCTCCCTTCTGAAAGCCAGGCAGAGAAATGCATAAAATATTGATAGCTTTAATTTCACTGTGCAAATGAAGTTCAGGTTCAGCTGGTCCATTGCATTAGCTACTGATCTCCGTGGCTGTATCCTCCTGACTTGTGATGGCTGGTGGCATTAAGAAGAAACCAAAGAGCAGAGCAGGCAGTAAAGTGCTCAGACCTGGAAGGAAATAAATGCATAATAATAAGCTTTTGTATGTTAAAAAAAAGGGTGAATGCTAAAAACAAATGGGGTATTTAGGCTGAACGTCATAGAAACCATGACAGTGGTGATATCTAATGTTTCTGTACAACAGGGAAGCACATGCTGCTGGGAATACCTTAGAAACCCTGCGTGGAGTGGGACCATCCAGCTTTGGCCATGCTAGAGAGCTTCATCTACAGCTTCCAACACCTAAATGGTTTTAACGTAGGCTGTTGATTGCTCTGTCTTGCAATAGCAGTGGTGGTGCTGTGTCCTGTGGTCTTTGGCTGTGCTCTTCATTAGAGTGAGAGGATGGGTACCCTGCCTGCCAGCTTTTTGGCAGTGTATTTCTGCTCCAGGCTTCTCATCAGAGGATCCATAATCCCACCGCTGTGTTTGGCATGTCCTTCAACCCATCTCTGCCTCAGTTTTCTAGTCATTAAAGATGGGACAATAGTGATTTTTGTTGTTGTTGTTTCCAGAAGGGCTCCTGAGGATTAGTTTGTCAGTGTTTATAGAAGCTTTTAAAAGCACCATTGCTGCTGTGTGCTCCCATCAGTAATAAATACTAGTGTGGAGCTTTGACCTATCATGTGCCTTTCAGCAATAATATTGGTTGAAAATCCCAAGTTGACTACTCTGAAAAGCCTTGGTCATACAATGACGTTAGTCAATAAGTTTAAGTCTTGGTGGAAAGTTTCTGTGCCCAGTCAGGAGCATTGGATGTTGATATTGAGACAGTTCTTCCTTTCAGAGATGTGATACATTGAAGGTTTTTAAATTGGCTTTGCCAGCTCCATTTTTCTCATGCAGCAGAAGACAGATGCTATCTGCAAAATAAAGCATCTCTATTCCCTCCCTTACTTTGCTTCCCATCCCACTATCTCAGAAGCTCATATTTGTGATGCTGTTTTGCTGATATATAGAAACCAGGTGCAGAAACCAGGTTTCCAAGGAGTTTTAGGCTTATCACTGCTCATGTGGGATGTGCTTCCATCATGTAACAATTATAGTGAACTATGCAGTGAACTATGCAGTGTTCATCAAGGAACACTTGAAACTCTCGTGGATAATAAGAATTAAGAATTAATAAAATAAGAATTAAGATAAAGTACATGAAGTGACTGATTTACCATCAAGGTCCTATACTGTAGTTTATAGCACTGTGGTTTTGATGTTGCTGCCACAATGTGTTGAGCTTTTGGGAAGGGACTGATCATTTCCTGCAGTTCCTAGCACTGGTGACAGGCATTTTGGCTTTGCAGGCTTGCGGAAGGTCATGGTCCGTGCCCATCGGCAGGCGTGGTGCTGGCAGGATGAATGGTATGGGCTCACCATTGAGGATATCCGGCAGCTGGAGAAGGAAGCACAGTTGATGCTGGCTCAGAAGATGGCCCAGTTCTGCAGTGAAAATGATGCTGAGCAGCACGGTGTCAAAGAAGCTTCTGGTGAGAAGGATGCTGAAGCCAACACAGTTTCACCTGCTGACACAGAGGATGCTGCTGGTAACAGTGAAACAGCCTCTGGGAGATCACTCACCAAGCAGTGGTCAACCTCTTCCAAGTCCTCACGGTCTTCAAAGAGAGGAGGTAAGATGCTGATGATGACTTGCTTTTCTAGCTGCATAGAGACTGGGCTTTGGGAAGTAGGAGTATGTCTCCGTGTGCCTGGTTTCTCTGGGACAATGCATATATCTATTGTGATTCCTTTTAACTCAGAGGCCTTCTCTGCTGGTGTTGCAAGCTCAGTCTTCTCAGGTGACCCCATTACAGGTCTGGCAGTGTTTCTAGGCATCCCATTCTTGCTAATCTCAAAAGCAGAGGAACTATATAAAAAAAGCAGTAGAAGAGCAAGCAGCTGCTTGCTGGCAGCGTTGGGTCTCAGAAGACAAACAGTGGCACAAAAAGAGCTCGTCCTTGTTACCCAAGAGCCACTGGTGGCTTTTATAAGGCTTGGTCCTTCAGTGGTGTTCCCTTTCTGGATGTCTGCTGTGTCAGAACTGGCCAGGCTGTGGGTCCCTGTTAACTGCCTCTGGTTTTCCAGGAGGCAGCTACCACATCAGTTCTGTGCTCCTTGGCCAGACTTATGCATTACTACATGCTGTTCATTTCAAATGCAAGTGCTTGGCTCCAGGGGTGCTGTGGTGTAGCTCACACAGCAAAGCCCCCCCATTAGCTCCACCAAAAAGGTGGTTGAGGGTACCTGCCTTCCACTGGTGATGATGTGCAGAGCTGTTCAGAAACCAAACCTCACAGCCTGGGATTAGATGGGACCATGGATCAGGTTTATATTTCCTTTTGAACACCATTCAGGAAGCTTTGGGGATTTTGCTGTTAAAGTTGCCTCTATGGATGCCCTGTAAGGACTCAGCTTTGACTCCTGAATGTTGTCATTCACCTCACCCTGTCAGTTACCTTTTTTGCTGGAATAAACTTTCCCTTCCTCAGACCATTCTGTACAAAGGGGTGAATCCCCAGTGAGGTACAGACAGAAGGCTTGAATCTCAGCAGTTCCCCCTTCTCTTACAGCAGGGTAACAGCTCTCACAGTAAGAGGGCAAAAACATCTTGACTTTTCTGAAAGCCCCAAGGGGCAGCATCTCCTGCAGTGCTGGTGGAGGGGAACACTTGGGTGATTGAAGCTTCTCCATCTCTCATATGCATTAAATACTGAGAGCTGAGTCTCCATTTTTATTTACCACTCCATTACTGATTCCACGGCGGGGTGAATGAGAGATGAGCAGTAGTTTTACCTTGCAATGACTCACTGGCGTGAGCCCCAGGGAAGAACCTACCAGATGCTTCATAAATCAGTGTATAAAGATACAAATGCCGGCTCCTTTCCTTGCATCAGGATTTTATATTGATGTGCCCATCTCTTATTACGCTTTTTGTTATGAGCCCCTTCTTCCAGTGCTGATGTGTTCATTGGAAGCTGCAGTTTTCAGACCTCTTAGGATTTCGCTCAAAGGCTTTCACTGGCAGCAAAGCATGAATTTTCTTTCAAATGTCTCGGTTTTTACAAGAAGAAGTAATGAAAGAAATTAATTGTGATGTGCTGGGAAGTACGTCACGCAGATATTTTAATCCTCCTTCACGCTGGCAGCATCTTAACACATGGCAGCAAGGAGGGCTGCCTCGGCTCACCGCTACCTCCAGCTGAAAACAGCAACCACCAAGATCTTGGTTCTTTCCATCCCACATGAGACCTGTGGTGACAGCACGACCCTTGTCGCCATCCCATATGTTATTACGTGCTCTATTTTTAGCAGCTATTATACGAGTGCCTTGACGTCACTCCAGCGTGAGTGAGCTCTGCGCTGCCAACCTCCTTGCTTGCTGCTCCCTCAGAGGTAGCTGCTGGGGTGGTTGGGGGCTGCTGAGCTGCGTGGAGATGGCTCTGCACAAGGGGCTTCAGCTTCTTTCCATGTGACAACCGGGTGGCAAAATCAGGATTTCACTTAATATACTTAATGTTGTTGCAACAATAGCATGAAATGGCTCATGCAGCTGTCACAGCAACCAGAGCCTTCCAGCATCTTTGTATATGCTAAAGGAGAATTTGTCAGCCTCCTCAGGGCTTTGCTGTGTTTAGGTTTGGTGGCTGCTGCAAGTGCTTTGTGTGTGCTTTGTGATCGAGGGGGGAAACTGTCACTCTCCTTGTGCTCCGGGCGGTGCTCCCTTCAGCTCTTGGCTGTTCGGTACCAAGTTCAGCCAAGAAGAGTTCAGGCTCATTCCTAAAGTAGCTGAAATAAAAGAGAAAAAGCAAAAAGCCATAATAGGTTTATATTTAGTGCAGGGCACTCTTGAGGGGAAAATGAGAGGGAGCAAGTAGGTGTGAAAGCAGGAGGGCAAACACAAATCGAAAGGACCGTCGGGTTTTCTCCTCTCTCCATCAGGACAGCCGCTCTGACAGCTCCCTCTGAAGGAGTTGGATAGCATGTTGTTTAAATCATTCAAGTTTAAAGTTTAAATAGATCTCTAATCCAATTTGTGTGGAAGCAATTTCCTTCCAGAAAACAGATTATTTCTAGCCAGGCTGCTGTGCTGAGCTCCCCACCCGAAAGTTAGCGAAGCAGAGGCATGGTTTGTGTGCTGCTCAGAGGCATGGAGAAAGCTTCCAGCCAGCCTGCATCCTTCCTAATTGCAAACTTTAAAACCCAGCTGATTTTTGCACGTCCTCCTAACAATTATAAATAACTGCCATTCAGAATAGCATCAGAGTGGCACAAACAGCTTGCTTTAATGTAGCATCTCGCTGTCAGGTTCTCACAACAGTAAACAAACAGGATCTGTAAAGCAGTACACTGACATCACACCAGCATCATCAGGGTTTTGTGTTTTTAACATCGCAGCAGCCGATTTTCATAGAGAGCACAGGACTTCCTCCAGCAAAGATCATGTTGGGAACTCTCCGTCTTGTCAGTGTTGCGTATCGCATAAGGCTGGTTTGTTTTTTGCAGCGAGTCCCTCACGCCATAGTATCTCAGAGTGGAGGATGCAGAGCATTGCCAGAGATTCAGATGACAGCTCCGATGATGAATTCTTTGATGCACATGGTATGTGGACCCTAAACCAGCGTTTGTTTCCTGACATGGTGGGGTAAGAGAACGGAAGGCATGAGGGTGGGGGGTGAGAGGGGAAGGAAGCGAGACCTGTTTGCTTTGCTTGAAGTCTTTTCCTTTCTCACCAAGATACGTGCAGCATCAGTGCAGCTTCTTCAGGCATCCTCAGCATCACCCAGCAGATTCTTACATGTAACACAGCGACATTCGGATTCGGTGTGATCTATTTGAAGGGATCTTGAACAGTCTTAACCTTTGGAGCTGGGTTCTATTTGGTGCAAATGAATGTGGGTAAAATCCAGCCATAGTGATTGTGCTGTGGGTGTGTCCTGTGATTCTGATTCCTTATGGCTGGTTAATTTTCTAATTTATTCCTTAATCAGTAGGGCATGTGATTAATTGTCCTGTCTGGGCCTGAAGAGACCCAACTTTGCCTTTCTTAACTCCTTATTCTCCCGTTCCAAGAAATACAGTAGTGAATGTAACGAGGTACCAGAATTAGTCAGTGTTGCCTCCAGAATTCTCAAAGCAATGTTGAATATCTGTGTTAGGAGAAAGCTCTGGTTTTTCTTTCTTTCTCTGTGCATGTATGTGAGAAGAAGCTGTGTTCCACTGCGCTCATTTTATATCTTGTACTTAATGCGTACTTAAGCCTGAAGGGCTCTGTCTCTACTGACAACAGATGGACTCTTCTCTGGGCTTGTAATGCTAATCTAAGTTAGATGCGTAACGTGTGCTGATGAAGTTGGTGACCTTTCTGTGAAATGCAGTTGTAAGAAGATGACGCCCCAGTTTTGCCAGGCAGAATTTCACTGACATTCAGCTAAAGTTCAGTCTCAGAAAACATACAGTATCGTGCTCCAGAAGGGTTCTCACATCCAGTATTTAGGTATGCATTGTGGGGCAGCAAGCAGCATGCTGTTGTGCAGTAGTGAGTTGTACAATAACAGATTAAAGGGCTGGGATGCATGCAAGTCAGGGGATGAATGTGTCTCTTGCCTGCAAGGGAAAAGGGCCAACTTAGTTTATGTGTCTCTTATTTATTAACTTACGTCGCACCTACAAAACCCGTGTAAGGGATTTATTGCTGCAATATATATGCAAGAAAAGAGGAGTGAGTCATCAAAACAGCATCATTTCTATCCACCCGCTTTTTTTGCCTTTTTAATTACTCAGTAATAAAATTGAGAAAGAGACAGCTCTGCCTGGGATCCAGGGAGACCCTGACATGCTCCTAACAGGCCTAGGAAGGAGGATTAACAAAAATGAGCCTTGTGCCACAGTTGGTATCAGCATCTCTGTTGCAATACTTCTAGGAGCTTGCTGACAGAAAAAGCAGCTCCTCTTCTGGTGGCACACAGCATCTCCATCTATTTACATACAGCTTGTCCTCTGCAATCCACACAGTTGGGTTTGCAAATCTGCCTATCCTGATGGGATTTTGGCTTCCAAGTCGAATCCTTGATGTGTGTGCTGTTCAACACAGCCCTTTCTTTGGGAGGGACCTCTTTTTGCCCCTTGGCCTGCAGATGAAACACCCCAGCTCCAGGTCTGTGAGCAGGGATGAAGCCACTGCTTGCTGCTCATCCTGCTGGAGAGGCTTCTGGGGTCGGTACCATGGGAACTGGCACAGATCAGGATGTGAGTCAACACCAAGCAGAGTTCCTCAGAAGTGCTTCCCATACACACACACATTTCCTCCCAGAGCAGTGGGAGTAACCTGAGCCCGAGAACATGTCTTGTCATTGGCTTCCCACTCATTCACTGGCATACTCTGGTAAAGAGAGTGACAAATACAGTAATATCTAATATCTATCCTGTAATAAATGCTAATAACGGGAGTAATATCCCGTTCAGTGATCCCTTGAGCAGCAATAAGGGCTGTAATTAAACCTCTCAAGGAAATAAGTTTAATATTTAGATTAAGTTGCTGGAGGAGCTTTGAGTGCAATCTTCCTCTTAATTCTCTGCCAGCATGTGTGTTGCATGCTTGTGCTTTCCACTTGCTCCAAACAGGTAGCTCCACACTCCCTTGTGCAGGGAAATGGGGATCGCCTCAGTTTTTGCTGTAGCTGAAAAAGGAAATGACATGCTGATGTAAAGTTAGTCCCCTTCATATATATATTTAAAGCTATTGCTCATATCTGCTGAAAAGATGAATACATTTCATAATCTTTTTGTTCCCCATCTTAGGATTCTTCCAACCAATTCTTTTCTTAGCAACTGTACAGCAAGAAAAAAGGGGGAATCCTAGTCTGGGACTCTGAAGATTGTAGCTTTTAGATCATCAAGACATCGCAATTACTGCTGTTATTATTATGTTTATAGCTCTTTATTAAATCTACAAGCCCAGAATTTTCAGGAGAGAAATACTAAGCACAGAACAATAAACAAACCTGTCTCAAATCCTCTGATGTCTGCTATAGAGCAAGGCTATTAATCATGCTTATGTTTGGATACTACCGTAGGGTGTTTTATAGGGTCTCTCCTTTATACATCTCTTTAATTACACTTCTAGGAATGTAATATCTTTGGGACCCTTATTCTTTGTCAGCTGTGGTTGAATTGAGCCAGGGGATTCAGAAGATCCTGAGGTAGGAGGGAAAGGGCAGCCACATGCACTCGGTGTGATCAAACAAGTCTCATCTCCTAAGGAAATCAGGCTAAAGATAGCCTGGGGAGTTCACATTTCCTTTATTACTCATGCCTTTTTAGGTATTCCATCCTATTAACAATAGTGATTCTTGTCACTACCTCCCCCAAAGACATACTACAGCTTTCAAATGGAACTGGGAGGATCCCAGCAGCGAATGGTGCTTTGTCCTCTCCTGTCCAGGAGCATTCCGGCTGCGTTAGCATCGTCTGGAAATCTGGCAAGGAAAACATCAAACTTGGTACCTGAAATGGTAGCATTAGAATCCATGTTATTTTTTCTCTGCTTTGGGAGTTTTCTTAGTTAAAAACATACAACTAGAACATTTTGTGTACTCTGCAAAAGGTGCTTTGGTTTCTGTATCACAAAAGCTGGTAAAATACCTATTTTATTACGACATGAGCCATCCAAATGTTCTTAAGACCACATAGAGTTACAGGGCCTTGCTTTTATTTAAAATCCTGTTCTGTGCTCTTGTCTGTATATATGTGTGTGTGACTCCAAAAAATCTGTTCTGTTTTAAAGAGGACTTGTCTGACAATGAGGAAATGTTCCCGAAAGAAATAACCAAGTGGAGTTCCAATGATCTGATGGATAAAATTGAAACCCCCGAATGCGATGATGTCCAAGGTAACTTTCTTTTAAATCAAAACTGCATGTGCTATTTCACAGTGTTTCCAAGCAATTGTTACAGCCACATTCTGACAAAGGTAAAACTTGTTATCCTCATCTCACAAAAGGAGAAGCTGAGACAGAGCATAAAAATGCCTGCCCAGTGCTGCTGAAAAAGAATTGCCCAGTTGGAATTGAGATGGAGAGCTCTTGAGTCTCTTTTATTGTCCGTGTTGGTTAGGCTCCTTTGTGCAACAGCCAGGTTTTGCTGGTATAATGATGAAATATTCTGTCTTGAATTTCTCCTCACTTTTCTTTCCTCTTGCTCCGTCCTTTGTTCTTGTCTGTATCTGCCTTGGGTTTATTTTCTGCTCATTGTTACTACATTTGGAAAGGAAGGTAGCTCCTCAGGCGTGTAGCAACGCGGTGGAAGATGACACTTTCTGGTACAAAGTCTTCCTGTGTAGGCACAGACGTGCGAGCGCATCAGATCTCTGCTCCCCCAGCACAGTTCAAGCAATTCCTTTTATTTTCCCACAAACCAATCACTTCTGACAACTGTGCAGGGATTTCCCATTGTTGCCATCCTTATTAAAGCAATGATACTGGGTTGCTGTGATGAGAGGAGAGCTCGCTAATGTCCTCAGTGCTTACCAAGCGAATGAGAAACTGCTGGAAAATAAGTGACCCATCATTGCTGAGGCTTCCTGGGGGGAAGGAGGAGGGAGGGGAGGGCAATTTGGGGAAATAATTAAGGAGATGTGAGGCAGAAGAGGCTGAGAGGCACTGGCACAAACAGTGTCTTTATGGAAGAGTGTCTGCCAAATAGCATCTTGCAGCGCTGATATTTTAAACCTCTGTTCTTCCAGGTGACTTGTATCATGAGACATCAGCAGAGTACCACGTTGGCTCCAGTGTGGAGAGGCTCAGCATCATTGAAGTAAGTGCTTCAGTTTCTTGTAATGATATTCTTTGTTGCTGGAATATGTCTGTGTGGGGTAAACGGCTCCCTTTGCTGTGAGCCCTGTCTTGTCTTTGTGTGTCATTCCGAGCTGCACCAGCATGCTGTGTACTTCATGGCTAGGTTGAAGGGATTATTTCCCCTGTCTTTTGAACATCATATAGAAAATGCTCTGTAGTTTGCAGGCAGCATCAAGTAGCCAGCTGGAAAAAAAGACTAATCCTTTGGGGATAAACTGCAGGCTGAGGCATTGCTGGGTAGAGCTATCCTACTAATGCTGAATGAGCTAGCATGGATGTGGAAGCAGGAGAGCCACGTTACTGCAACACCAAGGTGCAGGCTGCAGTGGTACAAGTGACATATCATGGCTGTAGCTCTCTCTTTGGAGCTGCTCAGGTTCTTGTCTGGAAGCCAGTTATAGCATGGCCTATATCAGCACTCTGGATAACATAATAAATAATAACACACACACACACTGGCTTTCTAGACTTGCATATAAAGGCTTTTGCCATTCAGTGTCCTAGTGAGGCAATGCATCTAGGAATGGCTGTACTCATCCTACCCTTAAAGTATCTGCCTGTCTGTGCTGTGGAGATAATGCAGCTATTTGCAGAGATGGTGGATGTGGTATTACTCTGTGTCAGGTTGTAAGGTTGTGATGGATTGGCTTTTTTTGTAAGAGACTTAAGAGCTCAAGGGCCACGGGGAGAGGATGGGATGGGAACAGCTGTAGCCACCTCAAGATAAGCAAGTCACAGCTCTAAGATTTCTCTTAGAGCTCAAGATGATGTGGAGAACTTGTTGTCTTCTTCAGGGGGCTGTACAAACTCAACCCCCTTCTGCCTTCATTTTAGAAAAAGAACAGACTTCCAACTAAGGTGAGAAAGACAGGCATTTGTAATTGTTCAATCTGCTAAAATAGTATGAAATTCCTAGCCACCATTGCACTGATGTTCAGGTTGAGAGGCTCCATCACCACAAGGTAGTTCAGGAATCAGGTGATATCTTACAACAAAGTTCTAAATGGCCACCTCCACCCCTGAACTAATCAGCAGCTGCTTGCATATTCCCCACTTCCTTCAAGAGCAGAGGTTAATGAACAGATGGGTGCCTCCAAATGACTACTGATAAACTTCTGGATGACCTGAGCTTGGTGACTCACATTGTTCTTCACATGAGCACTTAAAACCTTTGTCTGAAAGGAAAAGCGGTGCTGAGAGTGCTCCTCCTATGCCTCCAGCTGGGCAAAAGTTCACTTTGCAGGCGCTGTAAACTGACATCAGAGGAAGTAGAAAGAGCAGGCGTTAATACACTGTAATGGTACTAAATAATTAAAGGCCATTCTCATGCAGGAGGTCTGGAAAATCTTTATTACAGACTTGAATGTGAATTTTAATACTTGTGGTGGGCTGTGTATTAAGACATGCTTTAACAGTATCTGGTAAAAATGTAAGCTAGTTGTTAGGTTGCTAATGTGTGCCTGGGCATGCTTTCCTCCCACCAGCGGGTTTGTCTGGGACTCAGGCACCACTCAAAGGACAACAGGTGACTAAAGATGCTAAAATTAGAAGAATTTGCCAAATGGAAAATGCTGGTGCCCTCCACCCCTTCCACACCCCTTCCCAATGGCTGTTCCTCTGCCTCAGCAGGGAGTTGCTGGTGATGTTCTCAACTGTTGTCTCTGCTAGCACAAGGGATAAGGCGCAGGAGGAAAGACCAGTACCTGCTTTCACATATCTCAGAGGTGTTAGGGTGGGGGATTGGAGTCCATATGGGAGCTGTAAACACTGAAAGCCCTGGTAGGGAATAGATATTTAGAACAGTTACTGCTCTACTGTGTTATAATACGCAAACAATACAAATGGATGCTCTTGTGCCTGCTCCTGGGGTATCAGGATTGGGCTTAGAGCTGTTCTGGCAGTCACTAATGATAACCCATTCTGGAGTTCAGGTGCATTTCCCTCTTTCCCCCATACTGTAGCCTGTTTAGGCAAGGAATTGACTCAACATAATAAGCAAATGACTTGGACAGACAAAATAAACCTATCCTGTGTCCATGCAGCAGTCTCCCAACCAGATGTTGGCCAGTCCTTGGGTCACAGGGTATTGAAAGACTGAACTCAGAGGAACTGGGTAGAAAAAGCTTTTCAGTTCCTCTTTTGTGACAGCATAAGCAAATCTGAACTCTTATTTATAACTTCTGCCATAGGCAGACAAATGCAATGACTGATCTCTTCCTACGACTTCTTTCCCCAGCAGCTTGCCGCTTGCTGACCTGTTACTTCTGCTGAATGTGCTTTACTGCTGCAGCTGAGCTCAGCACCCCAACAGAGAGCAACACCCATCTTTTACTTCTTTTCCCCTCTGACACACACGACTCTTGTCTTTAGTGCTGCCACATTTCACCTGCTTACAGCTTTATGCAAGTTTTTGTTTTACTTTCAGCATTCCTTCTGCTTAGGACAGTCATTACGCTGAGGCTGCGTGTGTGCATTTGTGCGTGAAGGAGCAGTCAGGTTCTCAGCTGTTGTGTCCAGGTGTATCTAATTCCCATTGCCATGAATTAAGCACATTCCTTCTTGAAGACAGTTCAGCTTCTTGCCAACAAACCTGAAGGTGTTACTCTAAAACCTCATCTCTCCTGTGTTTAGAAACCTGATTTTCAGTCTATGCTTCATTCAGGATCAGTTTAGGCTCTTGTGCTTGTGCCTGTGCTGTCCTTTGCCTTAAGTGCTTCTCTTCCCTCCCTTGCTTTCTTCACTCCTCTCCACTGTGTTTGAAAGCAGGCATTTCATTCTAGGGTAACTTTGCACAGCAAATCAAGCTGAGCTCTTTCAGTCTCTGTTCAAAAGGGCTTCATGCTTCTGGTCCTCCTCACACTGCAACCACCTTTGTGTGTAGATTGCCCAGACTGAGCTTGGCATTCTAGATGTGGGCTTGCCAATTCCTTGTATCGTGGCTCCTGGAAGTATTTCTCCTGGAAATATATTGCTTCACACATGTTTTTGCCCCATCCATGACAGGACTTGATGTGGATAGTGCATTGTACAACCATGTGTGAGCTTGGGGAGGAAAAGGTGATAAAACTTGCCTAAAATGCACTTGGACCAAGTAAAACCTCTTTGGAAAATAAGCCTTTCTGCTGTCCTCTCTTTCATTCCCACCTAGGATGAATCAGCACAGCCATTAATGCAGCCAAGTAAAATCCATGTCCTCCTCTTGGTACTCCATGGAGGGAACATCCTGGACTCAGGAAGCGGCGACCAGAGCTCTAAGCAAGGGGATGTCAACACCATCACGACAGTGTTTGACACAGTGATGAGGGTACATTACCCAGCTGCTCTTGGACGCATTGCCATCAGACTAGTCCCTTGTCCAGCCATCTGCTCTGAAGCATTTTCACTGGTGTCCAGGTAAGTTGATGCTGCTTTATCACAGACACTCTTTTCACTCTTGGCTTTGTTTTCTTTATATGATTTATTTATTTGCTTCCCTGAAATGTTCTGCATATCGTACTGAAAGCTCTGACCATGCTTTGAGAATGCACTTATTAATGTACTAGCGAGGCATTCAATCTTGATTTCATACTTAGCTGTAGTGAATACAGTAATCATGCAGCAAGAGTTCTGAGATTGATCTATTTTAATTAATCCAATAAATACTAAGGCTTTAATTCCTTGTCTGAGGGTTGTTCTGTTAATGTAAGTATGTTGTCCTCGAAGATTTACGTTTGATGTGAGGGAAAGATTTATTAAGCTCTCGCCCATTCACAGTGGAATAAATGGCCTTTCTGTCTTGAAGCTTTCTTTAATGAACTACAGTAGTGACAGTACTTCTGCAGATGGTTTTCCCCACTTTGTGTGTAAGGCTGAATATTTCCAATGTCTCTTGCTCTCTCCAGCCTCAGCCCATATAGTTACGACGAGGGCTGCCTGTCCAACAGCCAGGATCACATTCCCCTCGCTGCACTCCCTCTGCTAGCAACATCATCCCCACAGTACCAAGAAGCAGTGGCCACAGTCATCGTCAGAGCCAACCAGGCCTACAGCGAGTTCATCAGATCCCAGGAGGGCATGTCATTCAATGGCCAGGTGAGCCAGAGGCTGTTTATAGCCACAATAAAAGGAAGAACAAGTGAAGCAATTTCTTTCTGAAGCTGTCTTTTCCATTAATCTCTCAGGAGGGATGGAAACATGACAGTGTTGAGCTGCAATAAGAAAGTGTTGTGCTTCCATTTCCTTCTTTCTGAGAGAGAGAGATTATTGTTTATGCTCTGTCTTGAACCTTTGGGATTCCAAGCAAAGCCTGAGCTTGTGCTCCGAAATGAAGCTACAAAGCTGTGAAGTTAATCAGCTTTCAGCATGACACACCTTTCCAAATCGGGAATGCTACCTTTGTTAGTAAACACGATCTCTCCTCCTGTTGCAAACCAAGGCTGTTTAAAGATTCCTGCCTTTAAAGTACCTTCAGCAGCTCGTGCTGGAGATGTCACAGAAGTGGGTTTCTTTTTTGAGACTCTGCAGGTGCTGCACCCCATAAAAGACTATGAGAGAGAGTAGCATTGTGGGCAGAGTGATTATCTAGCCCCTCATGGGTCTGAGCTATTGGACTAGCCATCACATTGCACTGCTGTAGTGTGATTTATTCGCTTTGAGCTTCTTCCCAGCCCTCCTATCTAGGGGTCTCAGGGCTTTATTGTGCCTTTCTGCAATACCCTTGGAGTCAGGACAGTGTTACCTCCTCAGGATACAAATTGGGAGCAGAAGCACAGAGAATCTTGCCTGAAGTAGCATGGAGAGCTGGCAAGGAGGGAATCAAGCTTGGTTTTCTGAGGCTGGAGTTAGTGGTGTGATCAGTGCTCTGTGCTGCTTTCAGTGCACTCCAGTCAGCTGGTGGGGACAGCCAGAACACATTAGCTGTGTTAGATAACAAGAGTCTGCAGGGTAGGTGTGGATGTTCATTGACTGAATAGTGTTAATTGATGAAAGCACTGGGCATCCTGTTACTGCAGCTTTCCTAGGTATAATCCATCACTGTTTAACTGTTAGCTCTGAACTGAACATAAGGAGCTTTTTTTGCTTCCCCTGACCCACTTCTGTTGCCTTTCTCAGGTCTGCTTGGTTGGGGACTGTGTTGGAGGAATCCTGGGATTTGATGCCTTATGCTACAGCAATCAAACTGTGTCTGAGAGCCAGAACAGCAGCCGGAGAGGGAGCGTTGTGAGTGTCCAGGTAATGGTGGCTCCCAGTGTCTACTGGGAATAGATCTTCTGGCCACAGCATCTTCATGGCCCCTGTTTTTCTGGAGATCACTCCATGAAACAACAAAGGCTCTACTCCTTATTAATGGCAAACACATGTCTTAAGGTTCATATGTGCCTCAGTTTGGGTGCATTTGCTCTGAACAGGGATGCTTCACCCTCTGGTGTGAAGCATCACTCACACCTGCTTCACCCACACTCTTAGGAAGTGTTTGGTCTGAGATGCTGCGTTGCCCTCAACTGGATCTAGGGGTAGGTGGGGAAAGGAGGGTGAAAGAAGAAGGTTATAATGTGGGTATATTCCTGATTCAGCTGCTAGAGTGCTAAATCTGTATATTTCAAATCCCAGGACACCGACCTCCTGTCTCCTGGAATAACGGTGAATAACAGTTATTGTTCCAGTGGCTCTAATCTGGAAGCCAGCAGACACCTCAGTAGGAGCAACATTGATATTCCCCGTAGCAACGGAGAAGATCCAAAGAAGCAGCTGCCACGGAAAAGGAGTGATTCATCAACCTACGAACTGGACACGATAAAGCAGCATCAGGCCTTTCTTTCAAGGTAGGATGTTGAAAGAACAGAGCCAGCAATAGTCTGGAGCTGAGATTGGTGCATCCGTGAAACTCAAATGTTGCTTTGTCATCCTGTGATAAGCAAGGTGGAGGAAAGTGTTCAGTTGAGATTAGAGGGATATAGATTTCAGTGTGTTGTATAGGCAGAAATAAAAAGAACAGCTCCCTTGTTGAGTGGCAGTGAGAGACTCCAGCTGCTCTCCTGCATCTGTATTACAATGGCAAGAAGCCCTTGACTTGACAGTTAAGGCAGTCAGGTAACTGCTTTTTTGCTGCAAGTGTGGGATGGAGGTCATAAAGCAAATGTAGAAATCATGCCAGGGAAGATGGTGAAGCAGAGCTGGGAACCCAGTGTTGTATTAATCCCAAAGCATCTCTGAAAGCTGAGTTTTGAATTGGCTGGCCTGTTCTTGGGAAAGGCAGGTGTAAGCTGAGTATCGTTTAATTTTGGCCTATTTCAAGTGTGAGATTGAATCTCAGTGCCCTTTCCTGTTGCAGGAGCAGGTTTCTGCTGTCAAGGTGGCAGGATGCTCTGGGTGAGACATCCTGAGCCTGAGCTGGTTCACGGAGCAACCTCCAACTGTGCATGGGGGTTGTTCTGTCTGTGTGACTATTTGTCAAAGCAATCCAAGTCCCCCATATGGAGCAGGGAGAGGGGATTGCATTCTGTTCCCTGCCAGGTCTGCTCTGTGGCACCAAGGTCGTGTTTCAGATTTGTTACTGACTATCAAAGCCCCCTCCTGAGCTTCTTCAGGTGGACTTTCAGAAACACATTTGTTAACTGATGCAATGTTCATAGCAGTCTCTCCATTGCAGCTGCTGGTTCAGGAGTGGTTCTGACACAGATGATAGATTGCAGTTTGTCATTTCAGATAGCTTTATCCTGGTCCTTCCTGCTCTGTCTCCAAAGGATTGTGCCTGCTCCCAGCAGCACTTGGGGGTCCTGGTGCTGTTTAGTGCACTGATGGAATGGTTCATCTTCTTTTAGAGTTTCACTTTTTGTTAAATCTACCTTTAGATCTTAGGTCAGAAAAAAGTCTCTTCCTACAGCTCAAGAGCAAGATTCCTTCAGGAAAAGGGGCAGGTTGAAGCTGCTGTATGAGCTCTCTCTGCACCTCTTCCTCTCCACTCCCTGGTGCAGGGGAGGCTTGGGTGCAGTGATTCACCCCTTCCCCTGCTGCATGACAGCAGAGCATTGCACCCAGACCTGTCCCTGGACCTTGTGCTTGCAGCCATCATTACTGAGCAGCACAGCCATCAGCAGAACATCCCTTTGACCTCTCTGTCATCAAGTAATGATTTTCCCATATAAAACCTAAGCCCTGATGTGCTGTGCTTTCGTGAAGGAGACTGGCAGAGCAGAGCCAGGTTTTCCTAATGGGCTCAGACACACGGGCCTTCCTGTCCATACCAATTGCATATTTCAGCTTGTGCCAAAGACACTCAGTTTTATTCCTGTATCAGACCTACCCGCTGCTCTGAGGTAATGCCCAGCGAGCCACAGCAGCATCTGGAGATCACAGTCACACATTTATTTTTAAATTCAGTTCTTCTGCACAACTACATTATTTCTGGCTGTGCTGTACTTGTATTATTGTAAATGAGTTGATTTGCTTCTGAAATCCATAAGCTCTTGTTTAATTAATGTGCACAGTACATCTGCTGCTTTTTAAAGGGAGAATGGGGCGCTGTAGGTTGCTTGGAGCATGACAGATTCAGAGTTCCCCTTGGCTCTCATTTCTTTTGATGGCTTAAAAAGACCATCAAGCTCCCAGTAAAAGGAGAGAAGCTGTCCAAATTGCTTAGCAGTATGAGTGCTCTCGTTCTTTTCCATTCCCCATGAAGAGATGCTATGGAAAGATGTGTGGAATACTCCAAACCCCCTTTGCATCCATCCTGCCACCACACATCTGCCTTGCCTTTTGTGCCTGCGTTTGAAGCACACTGCTGTTACCCTGTCTTTGGCAAAACTGAACATGTTCTGAATAACTTTGCATTCCTTCGACACAGCAAACTTAATGTATTGCAGTCTTGTCAGCTAAAATAATTGTAGCTTCCCTGAAGGTGGCTTGTTTTTAAACGTGTTTCAGAGTTGGGTGTCTTGGCAGTGTGATCGCAGGGAAGCTCGTTCACATCACACAAATGGGAACGTGCTCGTTTTAGCTGTTGCTGCTGTAACCTCCTGTTCCTCTCCCTTTTGACATCCCTGTTTTGACTCTCCCTGATACCTGTCTCTGGCATAAGTAAGCTTGTCATTTCCCTGGGGTTGGTAATGGGGAGAATAGTGCCCTGCATGTGCATACATGCACCTTGAGAGAATACACAGCAGTGTGGCATGGGCAGAACGTGTTTGAGCATCCGTTGGGAGGGGTGCTCAGCAGAGGTGCTGTCTCTGGGAATGATGCGTTATTTGTCAAAGCAGGAAAACAAAGTCTGAGTGAAACCCATTTTTCTTCTCAAATGTATGAGTATTTGCAGCTGCTCATTTGTTGACTGGCTATCCCAGAGGAGGGTGTGTGAGCAACTGCTCCAGTGCTACACATTGTAGGGACTGAGCAGCCCTGGTTTCCATGAGTGCAGCAGTGCTGGGACATCACTGCCTTCAGAGGTGGCCTTGATGAGCAAGTGCTACTGCACACAGAGACATGGCAAGTGCCTGCAACCACCTGGGAGTGTGATGTGGGGCCACAGAGCTGTCACATTTGCATCGTTCCTGATTCCAGGCGAGAAAGCCCCTTATCCAGCCCAACTGCTGTTGTATCCATTGATCCTACATATTGCGTAGAACCTGTTCAGATGCTTTTTGAAGTGTCTCCAAACACCCTGTTCAGGCACTGCTGGTACTCTGCCTTCAGCTCACCACCTCTGATTATAACAAGAACCCAGCAGGGATGCATCTGAATCTGTAGAACCTGGAGAGTGAATGAAATGACAGCTTATTGCTTTTGGGTGGTAACAGGCGAATCTCAGAAACCCTTTTGTGAACCAAGTTATTAGTGTTACACATCTGTCATTGGCTGTCTAGTCCCAGATCTAGATTGCAAAGAAGCACCTCCTCCTAACGTGGGGATGGATTCCCAGGATTTTCACCTAAGAGCTCCTGCTGCTGCTTCCTCAGTGTCCAAGGGATGTGAATTTAAGTCTTTGCTAAACCTGTATTTAACTGCACAGCGCACAGGTTGAATTTTGCCATCAGATTTGACACCTGAAAGAGGTGGGGAAAGCCAGACATGTTTTAATTAACTGTGTTAATCACCCCAAATTCCCATTCCCAGTGAGTGCCATACACATGCATAGAATCTGTTGTGAAAACTTGGTGCACAACGGCATTAGAAACCCTCTTGCAGATTTTCATCTTTTCCCCTTTCTATTTTCTTTTCCCTTTTCAATCCTATAACATTTGTCCAACTACTTCCAAAAGGAGAAGCGGGTAAGCGCAGCTTTCTGTAACATTTGAGAATAAGGTGATGGAAGGAACTCAAATGTTGACAACCAGAAGGCATAGCAGTAATGTGTGTAATGGAGTGAATCACTGTAAACCTGCTTTTTTCCCCTGCTACTCTAGTTATTTTGGCTCGCTGGTTATTTTATCTTGCAAATAGCTATGCTAGTAGCAGATTCTGACTAGAAGATTAGAGATTTTGACTCCTCAAAGGACAAACATTTTGAGGAGATAGGAGTGTGTAAATGAAATCCCGCTTGAAGCTTGGATTTGTAGTCTGAATTATGCACTGGCATAAAGGGTGATGGGGTAACTGGGGGGACAATTTACTGGCTAGTGAAACTACAGTACCGAGGCATGGTGGGTTGATTGGCACAGTTCCTTCACTGAAGAGAGGGAGATTATATTCACTGTCAATCACTAATCCAACCTTCAGCTACAAAACCACAGCCTGAATAAAATGTTGTCTTTCTTTCCTGTTCTTGTCCCAGTTTACATTCTAGTGTTCTGAGGAATGACCCGGGATCCAGGAGATCCAGTAGCTCTACTATGTTGGATGGAGGAAATATTGGAAAGTTTGAATTTGAGATCACTGATTTCTTCCTCTTTGGTTCTCCCTTGGGTCTGGTTCTTGCACTGCGAAAAACTGTCATTCCAGCTCTTGACAGTAAGTCCTGATGTAAACTGCTGAGCTCACTTAGTGGATGGGGAAAGCATCTCCTGCTACAAATGCAGGATTTGATGAGACAAACTGGTAAAGACCAAACTTTATATGTGATATTTATTGCACCTTAAGGAAGCAGATCATGAAGTGCTCCAGCCAGTACTGATTGTACAGTTTAGTTGAAATGTACTTCCAAATATCACAAATACTGGGCAATTCTCGAGTCTATAAATACTGTAGTGAACTGTTTCAATTGACTAAACTGGAAGATGATAAATCCTGTCTTTTTTACAGGCAAATATTTGCTATATTCTAACAAATAAGCTACTGGTACTTGAAGGCTTTTTTTCTTCATCTTTTCAGTCTTTCAGCTCAGACCAGCTTGCCAGCAGGTCTATAACCTGTTCCACCCTGCAGACCCATCTGCTTCACGCCTTGAGCCTCTTTTGGAGAAGAAGTTCTACCTTTTGCCCCCCTTTAATATTCCCCGTTACCAGAGGTTCCCGCTGGGTGATGGCAATTCTGCTGTGCTGGGTAAGTCACTTTGGATGCTTACTAGCTGTCTAAAGGGTTATAACTACATTTTATATGAAATTATCAAAGCAATTGGGAATGACAAGAAAGAGAATTGGCCCTATAATGTTAGCCTTATTCCTGAGTTACCAGAAAAAAGTAGTTTTCTTCTGACAATATCAGTGCCCTGTGAGCCATATGCCCTTCATTTGTCACAGAAAGGCCATCAGCTGCTGAGAGTCATGATGTGGTGACCTCTCTGTGAAGTTTTACACCCAAGGTGGTGCTTGTGATTGGGACTGAATGAAACCTGATTAACTTGGTAAAGTTTAGGACCTTAATGGAGGGCCAGTGAAGCAGCAGAGTTAACAGTGAGATGAGATGATTTACTTGGTTGCAACCTGTGCTTTTTAATTGGACAGGCTACTGTAGATTAGTGGGCTGGTGTCAGTGCCTTGCCCATGCCACGTTGCCCATGAGACACTGTCTTGTAAGATACCTAGGATTCCTCTCCCATCAGTGGCCTCTTCACTTGCTCTGCCCCAATTGCAGCAGTAACAAAGTCTGGAGTGGCTGTGTGCATGCCCTTTTTGCATTCGAAACAGTTAACTGTGTCCTGACCATGCCCTGCCTCAGCTCCCATTACATCAGTGGATCTAATAAAGTAAATTCTATTCCCTGCCATCTTCACCTCACTCCTGTGCCTGGACTCTCATGGTCTGTTGCCATTTCAGTGCAGGCTCTCGTTGCAAGGAGCTCTCGGGGAAGCTCACCACTGTGCAGAACTAAATTTGACCTTTCTGCTTCACCTAAAGCTTTCCTTCCCTGCAGGGTCAGGCCTTTGAGGCAGGAAGAATAACTGCACTGTAATTTTTCCCTTGCTAGAGGTTGTTAGTCAATGGCTAGTTAATGTCAACATTATAACTGAGAGTCCCTACTATAAAACTAGACTTAAAACACACAAGAAATCATGTTGGCAAACCAGAGTATCAAAGCCACCAGCTAGAAAGATGGGGATATGGTGGTTGTTTTTTTTCCCCAAAGCCCTGGTAGCTTTCCATTTGTTCAGTATTTGAATCATGCAGGACTAAATGAAGAGGAATATATATATATCTAGAGCGGAATAATTCTGGTGATGCTCTGCACCATTTTAGAATTGAAAATCCAGAGCAGTGCTCTCCTATGTATCAGCGTCTTGAAAGCTTGTCTTGTGATTGTGAATCTGGAGGTCTGATCTGTTAAATGGGCATAAACTAAACCCCATGCTCAAGAAAGTGAATAAAATACTTTCTGCAGGCCCCACTCACTAGTCAAATTTAGCAAAGATCTTGCTGCAACACCACTTAAAAATGGAACCACCCACAAGTGCGTTTGTACAACAGCTCAGGGAATCTATAGCAACTCAAAAAGCAGTTTGCTTTTTGGGTGTATTCTAGGTATCAGCAGCAAGTGGCTCCTTAAAAATAAAGAAATATAAAAAATAATCCTAAACATCTTACCTTCTTCCTTTTAAATACATTTCAAAGCCCCTGTTCTCACTGAAACCAGAGGTAGAAGCCTCATTGACACCGTGTTCTGGTTATCAGTCTACGCAGCAGCAGGGATCTTACTGGTTTGCTGTGCTTCCCCAGACCTTTGAGTTGCCTATGTGTAGAGAGATGCTTGCTACGTAGCGGAGTTAAACAGCAATTAGCTCAACTATGAGAAGAGTAGAGTGATTTCAAAACTCTCTCCAGATTTGAGCCTTGTTACTTTAATAGGAGATGCTGCTCTGCTTCATGAATAAAACTGGCAAAAAAGCAACTCTAAACTCTCTTCCTGTGTAAGACAAAACCTCTCATTTGCTTATTCCAAAGTAACAGGCTCTTCCTTTCCATTAGAGTCAAAATTTCACTGTTGATTTCCACATTACCCACAAGGACTGTTCTAACCACGATTTGCAAAGCCTCTACTGCAGGGCGCTCCAGGAAAGTTAATTGCTGCTATAATTAAGCTAAGTGATTTGATGATCATGTAAAATTCAGGTGCTCAGTTATAATTAGTTATGTACAAAGCCTCCTGTAACACTGTCTGTGCATATTTCCTCGTGCAGATAGCTGGCTTTTTACAGTCCACGATTCAGAAAGCCTCTTAGACATTGTATATTTAGTTCATTTTCCCATCTGTACTAAATGTTGGGTCTCTGTTTCATTACAACCAACTTGCAGAGTAAAATGAAATTCACATCCCTGCTTACTCCTGTGCTTTGCACTGTGTAGGATGTGAGTCTGAGTCAAGTAAATCTCCCCTTACAGCATACTTTTTTTCCCCTCGTAGTAAAAAGATCTCTCTGGATCTGCTGGGTGTTTATGGATTGGACTCATTGGAGAAGCTGGTTAAGAGGACTCCCTTTTCTTTTGTTGTTGAAATGCCATCGTTGTGCTCTCCTCTGCTACCAGTTAATCTCTCTGATGTGGGTCTATTTGGAAAGTCACCCATGTCTTTTTTCTTTCATGCTATTTGAAGGTTGTCTTTTCATTGAAGGCTCATAGTTGAAGTGCTCAGTTGCAACTGTTTGTATGTTAACACGTTGTGGCCACATGTCTGTTGTTCTTTGTCCTTCTGGTTTTGTTTTGTTTTGTTTTTTTTCCCCATCTACTTCTAGTTGAGACAATCCAGAACAATCCCATCCTCCTCATGGAAAGCAGCCCTCTGGGTGCTCTCCAGCACCAGGACAGCTTCATGGAAACAAGTATCCCCGTTCCCGTACTGAATTGGCAAGATGTTTCCAATAAAAGTGCTGGTTTTGCTGAGTGTGTGTAATCTACACTTTTGTATTGTCTGTGGTGTTGGGTACTTGGGGTGTTATTTGGAGATCATACTGTTTGCCTCCTGGAGTTGAAATCTTCATGCTGTGTCTCAGGCTGTGCCACATGAAATAACCACTTGGGATGATGCTTGGGTCTGGGAGTAAAGAACAAGTTGGGGTTAAAACCTCTGCCCCATTCTAGAAGTGGGAGCTTCTGCCATTTAATTGCTTTTTTCCCTCTGTGGTGGCTGTGCTGCTGGAAAGAGGCTTTGGCACAGAGAGTCCTTGGGTATCCCTGCTCGTGTGGTACATACGTCAGGATCCCCTGGGAAAGGGTAGACTCCCCAGCAGCCAGCCACACTGCTCCATGGCCAGAAGCCTAATTAACATCTCTATCATACCTGATTTTGTCCATTTGAGTGTTTTATGTTTGGAAATCCATGTGGCTTTGCTGAATACAGCGACTGAGGCTTTCAGACCCCAGGGTGGTTCAACGTGTTGGCTCTTTAAAATTCATTTCTTGACTTCAAAGCAAAGTTTGGTGCATTTGTTTTGCCTTATTTTCCACCCTAACTGCTGCATGGCCTCATTTATCCTGGTTGTGGCTGGTGCTACATCTGTGATTTCAATGAGATTTGACTTCATTTTAGTTTCTTCTTCCCCATGTGTCTTCCTTGCCCGTTCTCACCCCTTTTCCAGTGTCTTGCATTGAGAGCTTGGCTCTGCTGCCTTGTTGTCTTTAACAAGCTGACTGCTCACGAGCAGTCTGGTACATTATGTGGTCATACAGGATGGCAACATCGCTGGCTATTCTGGATAGTCTCTCCCTTTGTCTTTTGAAGATGGAGATGATCTTTAGGTATGCAGTTGCCATGTTGCCTGTGCTGTGATGTTCTGTAACAACGCAGAGGGAAAGGATCTGGTACTATTAATTGATCACTTTGGAGGTCACTAACGAAACGCCATGTAAGTGTCATCTGACACTTTCCTGCTGTCAGGATGGAGGTTTTAGAAGCTTCTCTGCTTTTTACCTTGTGTGTCAAGAGCCACAGTGTGGCCAAGCAGTGCTTGGCTGACTGTAGCTGGTGCTGAATCCCAGCTGTGGGAAACTTCCAGTGCCCAGTGCTGACCAGTGACTCCAGTGCAAGCAGGGTTTGGCCTGTGCTGAGCAGCTGGCTGCCTTTCCTGGTTTGTTATTTTCTCATTTTTATTGAACTTGACACATTTTTGATGCTTTCAGTATTTCCTGCTTTGGTGCCACAGCTCAGCCAGCAAATAGCACATACTGAAATCTGCCATTCAGATACCCCAAGGACTTAAGGCAGTGCCAGCAGTACATTAAGAGGATGGCCTGGTGTTGTTCACTTAGTGGGAAACAGTTAGTAAGAGTCTGGACAAATGAGTCCCTAAATGAAAAGGCACAGCACTGAAATGAGTATTAAAGATCCATAGGTAGGCAAAAAAGAAGTGATTTTTCTTCTTATGTCACCTCTTCTGCAGGTGCAGTTCAATCTCAGCTCACTGCGCTGGCCTGACCTGTGTGTGCTGCTGAGCAGTGGCAGGTCCTGTGCTGGGAGAGAAGGTGCTCAGGGCTCTGCTCAAGCCAGGTCTCTTCCTGAAGCTTCCTTGTTCTGATAAAGTCTGCCTGCAGACCCAGTCCAAAGTACACTTCAGCCAGTGCAGTAAACCAGGGGCACCTCTGTCCTTATCTAGTGCCATAAAGGAGCAGCCAGTCTTGATGAAAGTCTTGTTACTGCTTGGCCTGGTCCAGCCATCTGACTTCACCCTGGGCTCAAAGTGCTGCCTGAAAAGCATCCCTGTGATTGTCAGGACGTGAGCTGGGGCTGGGGATGCCGCCTCTGCTGTGCACAAGATTTCAGACTTGTTCCCTTTAGGTTGCAGGTGCTGGGGTCAGTTTGTGCCAGTGTGGCAGCAGCATCCCACCCTGGTCATTGCACTCTGCAGGAAAGCCCCCTTGGCTTCAAAATGGCAAGAGCAATGCTGCACAAGGGATTTGGTGCAAAGAGTACACAGAGCTTAGGAAATACATTGTATGGGTTCTGTTCTTCTGCAAGTCAGGTCCTGGGGTTTTATCTGGGAGTCACTGCAGCTTTGGGGTGGAGGGCAGCAATGCATAAACCAGATTTTCTGTCCACGCTTCCTGCCCTGCCTTTTCCTGGCCCTCATGTTTTCTTAGAAACTGGCCTTTTTCAGGAATAGAGAGTGTGTAGCTTGGGAAAAGGGAGAAACACAAGAATAACCCCAGTGCTCTGGAGCCCGGGAGCGCTGCTGTGGGGGTACATTCATCCCCTTGCAGAGCAGACTCCTGCCACCAACATGGGCAATACTAAACTGAACAGTTCAGTAATGCTGAAACAGTTTAGGCTTTAATAGGAGTGAATATTACTCCTCTGGTGGCATTAGGCATGATAGTGTTGGAAGGGCTGTTGTGGCTGGGTGGTTTTGTTTCAAACTCATTGTACTCAGAAATCCCCACTCGGGCCCAGGAAAGCAAGACTGGCTAAAAAGAGCAAGCCCAAAATGCCCGGTTTGTCCTTAGTTCACTTTCCACCTTCTGGGATCTCAAAACAGGAGGTAGAATTCAGGCAGAGCTAAGTGAAGACAAGACATGCTAAAGGAGCTGAACCCATGATCATCCCAGGCAGCAGCACATTTGGCCCAGCCTTTTCTCCTGGGTAGCATTGCTGTAACTCTTTAGTGTGTCTTCAGCTGCTTCCTCATTCGAGCCACAGATGTTTTGTTTTTAGGGGAGACGAAGATGTTCAGGCTTTGCTGGTATGTGTTAGTTAAACCTGAACCTGGAATTCTCCCTAGCACAGGTAAAGCCAAACCTCTCCTTGCATCTGACCAAGTTCAGGAAAGCTGATGGTCATTATCTGCATTACAGCTGTGTTGGGGTACCCATTTGATGTGACATAAGTGCAGAAGGATCTCACCATCTATACAGGCAAGGTAAAGGAAAGGAAGGGATAACTAAGGAAGAGATGAAGGGGTGGTCCCAGGTCATATAGCAATGGGAATGAGACCTTTTACCCTTGAGATCTTCAGGGGGTTGAATGCAGCTCCTGGCTTGGCTCATGTTCTCAGAGTGCACCCTCTGCTTGAATTGTCTCCTCTTGCTTGTGCTTGCAGCAGTAAGAAAGCTGTTCTGGCCTGGTGGGGCTGGCTGGGTTGTGGATGCTGGTAGGAGCCTTGACAGCCAGCAGCTCAAGGCAAGGTGAAAAGAGGAAGAAAGTGCTGAGAAAGTGATCCTGGTAATAGCCTTTCAGGCACAGCGTGTGTGGAGCTCATGGTCAAGTCGGGCTCCTGCTAAGGCTCAGATCTTGCAGTCCATGAAGCTTTTACACAGAGCAGCTTGTGGCCTGATTTTCCCTGCAGAGAACAGAACTCTTTTCCCGACACTTTAGCCTCACATTTTCTGCTTCCTACGTCCCCTTTCCCTCTGCTGCAGCAGTACTTACATGGGCACACGCTGCTGCTGCAAACCAAGAGGTCAGAGGCAGCAAATCAGTAGCCCCAAGCAAAAAAGATGGATGCTAAAAATAAACCAGTTGCCGAAACAACGCCCTGTGTCAGCCGCATACTTGGGATTAAATCCAGGGATATCTGAACTGGCTGAAACAGGTGGAAGATGTTGGTGTGTGGAAGTAATGTACCTGCATTCCATGTGGCATCTACTGCCTGGCTCATCCCTGGGAATAAAGTTCAGATGCTGCTCCTCAGGTACAGCAGAGATGGGCAACATTAAAAAGATAGTTAGCTTTGCTTTCGCATGTTAGTGTCATGCTGGTGCTGCCTGCTGTCGAGTACTTGGCATTGGCATTACAAACCCTCAGCTGTGCAGGATCTTGGGATATCCCACAGACACTCAATTCAGCCTTGCAGCATCTACAGGAGTGAATGAATGCCCTTCCCACTGTTATAGAGAGGCAACTGAAATGCAGAGATTTGACGTGACTTTCAGCAACTCTCAGTTTGCTAATCCTGAACATTTGAGGTCCATTTCCCTCCAGTACGCATACAAAGCCTATGTGAGTGTGACTTCAAATCCTCCCTTTGTTGTATTTACGTACTAAAGGGATAGGCCACACTTGGTAAAACTCAGGTTGGGATCTATATATCCAGACTTGCACGCTGTACAAAAGAAGCTCTGTTTTCACAGAGGCCAAGCATTCCCCATTCCACCAACACTGACTGGAGATGTAAGTGCTCAGCACCAGGCTCCTTTCTTTCAATAGCCCTTACTTTAGTTTAATGAGCATTGGCTGTATCCATTAGCAATAAGATACGAGTTCAAGTGTAGTCCCTGCCAGGCATGGAAATGTTTTCTTAGTTTTATTTTTCCTTTTTAGCATTAATGCTTCTATCTTGGAGATGTTCCTTTAAGTTTAAACACTTCAAGAATACAAATATCCCTTCTCTAAGGCTGTTTCTTGTTGTTCTCCTTACCTCGGTTATTTTGTCTCAGTGTGAATATATGAAGTTGTGTATATTCACATCTGTATGTATGACACACGCTTGTTATTGCTGCTTGAGTGCGTCTGCCTGGATTTTTCTTTGGGGTTTTGGGTTTGCTTTCTGAGCTCCTTGTTTTGCTTCTCTCAATCCAAGACTGCTCCTTCAGCCCCGTCTCTTTGCCTGCTGTGGTGTTTGCTTTCTTTCCAAACCAGAGCTCTGATGAAATGTTTCTTTTTGTGGGGTTTTTTTTTCATTCCAATCAGTTCTGAAAGGGTTTTTTTGCACCTTACCAGCCTTGTTTGCCTTCTTCCTCCCCTCGAGTTCATCTTGCCCAGCCTCTGTCTGTTGGTCTAATATTTTGATTTCCCTGTTTCAACTTTGTAGCAGATGTTGTTCAGTCTCATGGTGCCGTCTTCATGGAAAACACGTCCCTGTCCACCCCCATTTCAGCCCCTCAGTTCAGGGGCTTCCGGAGAGCCAGTGAGATCAGCATTGCCAGCCAGGTCTCAGGAATGGCAGACAGTTACACTGCTTCCAACATAGCCAACAGTAAGTGTTTCACCTCCTCCGAGACTCCCGCATCGCTCCCGCAGCACCACGCACCGGGCCAGAGCCACACAGCTTCTGTCTGTCTGTCTGTCTGTCCGGGTTATGCTTTCCATCATTAACAAAGAGTTGGAATTATTCCACCTTCGCCTGGATTTGCCATAGTCAGTGCCACGTGTTATCATATCTCCTGGAGGGACAGATGATGTATTCGATTATAATACAGGGGCCACCGCTGTGTTATGCATGTTGGACTGTGCTGGTGATGTTGTTCAAAGAGATGTAATGATTGATAACTCTGAGCACCATTTGGCTGCTGTGCGTGATGAGGGTTAATCCAAAGGGATGTTTCCGTGCTGCCATTGGTAAGTCGTGCAGAACTGGTAGGGATCAGCACCGCCAGATTGGTAATGCAGGGGCTGGCATGTGGCTTGGTGTAGATCATTAAATGTGGCTCATAGAAATGGGGATGAGTAAGAAAGGCAAGAACAGGTTTAGATTATTTCTCTGCGTTAGAGATTCAGCTCTTTGGTAGCCAGCAGCAAGGCTCAGAGTCAGCCAGTCATGACCCATATCCCAGAGCCAAATGAGGAATAAAAGGAGGGGGGTTTATTGTTACTTTTCCCAAGACCTATATAACTTCCCAGCTGATACAGCGGAGAACAACAGCCTTTGTTAACAGCTGAGCCCCTTCTTCGTTCCAGCTGAGGTGTAAGATGAACAGTCTGTGTCTTCAGGGACCTCTGATAACTGCTGAAAACCAAACAAATTAAATAAACCCCAAACTTCAGCCCAAACTCTTGTTCCAGGATGCGGCAGAAAGTCAGAGATACTCCATTGCTGGCACATCAGACTACAGAGCTAGGAATGACTTAACTTCACAATTGCTGAGGTTAATAACACTCCCTGAGACAAGTGTTAGTTCCTGTGGGTGCTGGTCAGAGGCTGCTGTAACTTCTTGCCCTGTTTGAGGCAACACTTGGCAGCAGGAATAAACTCCCTGTGCTCTGACACATGAGGTTTTTCTCTCCCAAAGCTCATCCAAGAGCTGATGCTGCGCTCCCTGTGTGTGTCCTGGTAAGACATCTTACCAAGTGCTTGCTGAATACTAATCTGCTTGGGGAAGAAGGCTCCTGGGGGAGAAGGTGTTTGTTTTGTGCTGTTCCACACCTACAGAGTGGGCAGGATGAGAAATGGGGGGGGGGGGGGAGGGGGGGGTGGTTGTTCCTTATGAAGTGTTTACACCAGGGCAATACCTACAGGCCTGCGTGATGCAATGGAGGGATCCTTCCTCTGGCAGGTGATGGCAGGATCAGGCCCACATGATGCTCGTTGTCTCCCTGCTTTCCCCATGCTCTCACCAATTATTTAGCTCCTGGTTGTGTAATCTATTCCTTCATGCATTTCACAGCCGTCAAAACCTGTTTCTGAGATCAGAGAGGAAGAGTCCAGCCTTGACCCCCTGTGCAGCGTGCCCCGAGGCTGTCACAGCCCTTTCCTTCACCTCCTGAGTGCTGACATGTCCTCTGAGCCCGGGCTCTGCCTTTGCAGCTCTTGCACTCGACCTTACTAGCGCGGTGGTAATGTGAAGCCATGGCATTGCGAGTTGGATGTGGTCCCTGTTATCCCACAGGGAGAGCCAGAGGAAGTCCAGAGGGACACCACAGAACCATGGCTCGCTCTCAATGCACTTCCCTTCCACTATGAACCTCTGCAGGATGAAAGAGGTGTTGCCTGCATCATGTGTGTGCTGTAATAATAAGTGTGATTTCTACTTCTTTTCATTTTATTCTTTTTAGAAACCAAACACCACCTTAATCACTGCAGAGGGTTTAGCCTTCTGTCCCAACTTGCCCTCCCTCACAAATCCCCTACTCAAACCTCATCCAAGAAACATAGGCAGCGTAAACACGAAATCCCTTCGAAGGGAAGAAAGCTCAAAGGGCCATGGAGTCAGGCTGCAGACTGCATTCTTCGGATACCCGACCTGGACATCAAGACAGGTATTCTGGAGGCAGCCGCTCTGGTCGACCTCCTCTCTCATTCAGTAGTCACACAAGCCCTCACCAAATCTGTGCGCTTTCACCGAGGCACTTGTCATTTCTGAGTGCAGTTTTCTGATTAACAAGTGTTTCTGTCACTTTGCTCTGAAGATCCATCATAACACAGCTAACAGCTTGGCAAGAGCAGGACTTCTTCTGGGCAGAGCTGTGTGGACAACGCTTCTGCCTCCACCGCTATCTTTTGAGCATGGAAGAGTAAATCCTCTTTGCTTCCTATGAAGAATCTGAAATTACCTAAGCTGGGGACTTGCATGAGAAACGAAAGGGTGGAACATGACCAGGAGCTGCCACTTTAGAAGACAGAGAGTCATAAATGGCTCTGGTGCCTGTGTGCTCTGGAAAAGCCATGTTGATCCATCAGTGCCTTCCTACTCCTTCCCATGGCTCTTGGGAAACACAAGAGCTGTTAGGGCCTGGGCTAACAGCTGGGGATGTTCTAATGCCATAACCCTCTGCATGTTTCTATGGTGGGAGCTTTGTACAGGTCTCTGGAAAGAGCTGGTGGGACCATTTTTTCAGTTCAGCATCTGTGCTCATTACCAGCTCATTGCTGAGGGTTTGTTGGATCATACCTTATACCTGGCAGCTTTCCTGGAAGTCCATAAAAAGGAACACTGTCACAGTGAAAAAAGAAGCTTGAGAAAGCCCCATCTTGCAACCTGCATGCAAACACAGCTCCTTCTTTACTCTCTTGCTCTGATCCATCTTCTCTTTCCATGGCTGCTTCTCCAAGCCAGAGCGTGTCGGGTTGAGGACTCCTCACTGCTGGGAAAGCAGCCCTATCTTTGGGATGTGAGGCTTTGGACTGAGCCATGCTCATTGCTAGGAGGTCAGACAGGATGTGTGCATGGGCAGTTGAAGTGTGGTGGTGTCCCATGGATGGACAGGGGCTGTTGGACACTTTTGTGTGAGTCACTGACTCCCAGAGGGAGGAACTCTTCTGTCTTGTCTATAACCTTCCCCCTCCAAGATCCCAGTGAATAAAGTCCCAGCTCTCCCAGATCCTTTTCTTGTTGGCCACTGCAGAGCCTGGGCTGGATGTCTCAGCTGCCTGCAGCGTGGTAACCCAGGATGGTAACAAGGACTTGCTGGGGACTGCCAATCCTAGCAGCATGGGCAACATATCCTGCCTTTTGGTGCCTTTTAGCATCTCACATGGGCTCCCACTGTTCAGATCCTCTTTAGTGTGACCAAATCTGGATGCTATTCGTTGGTGAAAGCTAAAGGAGTTGGAAAGCGGGGCTGGAGATAGCCTGGGCATGTCTTGTGGTGGGCAGAGCACACACATCCTTCCTCCCGCAGCTCCAGGGAGATGTGCTTCTGCCTTATATTTTGCCATGTGGATTCCCATTGCACATGAGCCTTTGACCCCTTCTCCATGGTCTGGACTAACAGCTGATTAATACCTGCCCTCCAGTGCCTTCCTGTTTGTTTAAATAAAGGAGAGCTCAAGTGCTGGTGCCCCTCTATGGTCCTCCCTTGGTCTGAGCAAACACTGAGCCCTGGGTTGGTTGTTCCCTCTTAGCAGTGCAACCAGCCAGGGAGCAGCCTCTCGGCGTACCTGGAGTGAGGAGCCAGAGCCTTGCAATCCCATTTGTGATGGAGACCACACACGCATGTGAACCCCCTTTGTCTGAACAAGGCTTTTTCGCTTCTAGTTGCTGCCAAGTGGTGGGGGACCAAGAGGATTGACTACGCTCTCTACTGTCCTGATGCTCTGACGGCTTTCCCGACGGTCGCTTTGCCGCATCTCTTCCATGCGAGCTACTGGGAGTCCACAGACGTTGTCTCCTTCCTGCTGAGACAGGTACAGTTGTCCTCCCTCCCTGATCTCCATTGGGCTGAACAGTATTTTAGGCTGGTTTTCCCACTGCACCTTCCATAAATCTCGTTGATGCTTACAGAAATGAACAAAACCCGTTTACAACTGCAGATCCATTTTTTCCCCTTCTTTTTGTGCCTCACCTGTGTTGTTAATGGAGCTGCATGTGTGCAAACCTCATGGACATGTGCTGTTATACCTGGTTAGTTTGGGCCTGGGTTTTATCTTCAGAGCAGGTTTCAGATGGGCTCAGCAGGGAGCCATGGAGTGAGCCCAGGGCTGTTTCCTATCACATCACAGTGGCATCACTTGTTTCTTGAAGTGAGCTGTTCTCTGTGTGTGCACATTTGGATCTCATGTCTGAAACTTAAAGGAAACTTCTCAAGGTAGAAAGAAAATCAGCACCAAATACAATAAAACCAAAAGAGAAGTTGTGCAGGCATCTGACATGAGTTGATCAGCAGAGTTTGGGTCTCCATTTTTGCCTTATAACTTATTGTGGTCTCTAGGAACTCAGATCATCGTCACTGCATTGGGATTTAGTCCTTATTCCTGAGGCTACAGGTAAATGGGGATTGCTGGTGTCTGGAGTCTGATGCCTTGGATTGGTACAATGTCTGTTTGGCCTGAGATTTGAATTTACTGTTTAAAGTGAGGTTTTCCTAAAAGGAATATTTTTCCTTCAGTTCCTTGGGAATGAGGAGTTATTTTCCTTACAAAGTATGAACCCCTCCAGGGAAGGGTACTTTGAGTATGGAAATGGAAAAGACAAAACTAAAAGCAACCCTGTGGATTGTGCTGCCCACTCTGGCACTTGGCTTTGCTTTGTGTTAGCTCAGCTGTTGAGCCGTCCCTGCTCCTTTCCAGCCTCCTCGGCTGCAGCTCTCAATTATTTATGATTCTGTTGGCAAACTTGCTTTCAGTGCTGCCTTCCAGATAGTGTGAGAACCATAAACAAGAGAGATGTCAGTGCTAGTGGCAGCCGAGCAGTGGTGATAATCCAGGGAGACCCGTCTGTGTGCTTGCACAGACCTTGATGTGAAACCCCAAACCCCCATCAAACTCAGCCTAAATTGTGCATGAGTGGGAAGAGTCACAACAGTCTCATACAAAGAGTGCTCCACTCAAGAAATAGCCAATTACTTAGGATTCAGCCCAAACCTGGGTCTGTAGCTTCATATCTTGGGGCTTGAGGTACCTCTCCATCCATTCAAAGCTTGCTGGTGGCTCTCTGAGTAATCTGGCCCACTCCCATTCTCCAGTGCCTGACTCTGCTAACTTATCTCTGCCTTGAGACCAGGGTCTTTCTCATCCCCTGTCTTCTTGCTGTCCTTCCAGAGCACCACAGTACTTCTTCCCCTACTAAGGACTTGTTTCTAATTGCCTTTGAAAGTCATCTCTGGGCAAGAGCAGTCCAAAATGTGTTTAAATAGAAATAAGAAATGAACTGAAAGAACAGCGTCTGTCAGCATGAGGCCAGGCAGAGCAGCTGGTGCTTGGTCTGTTACAAGAATGGCAGAAGACTCGTGTTCAAAGGAGACCAGTCCCTTGCAGACCAAGGGGAAGGGACTAAAGAAAGCCTGGAGGAAGGGCAGATATCTAAGTGCAGAACTCATCCTGCTGTGTTTGAGTCAGTTTTGTACCTCCTGACAATCTAAACAACCTGCATCCCAGCCAGGGTTAAGTCAGTGCTGGCCGCAGGCTTTGCTAGTTCAGAAGAAACCCCTTGTCCTTGCAATGAAGGGAGCAGCCTGTAAACCCTGCATGCTGACAAGGCAAACACCCAGCAGACAAACCCAGGCACTGCTCCCATCAGTGCTGGCCTGGGGCATGCAGGACAGTGCAGGCAGGAGGGGGTCACTGCATGAGTGGCTGATGTCTCGATGGAACCCATCCTCCTGCAGGTGATGAGGCACGAGAACTCGAGTGTACTGGAGCTGGATGGGAAGGAGGTGTCCGTCTTCACCCCCTCCAAGCCCCGTGAGAAGTGGCTGCGCAAGAGGACGCACGTGAAGCTCCGGGTAAGGGTGGCTTTGGGGTTGCCTCCATGGCAGGAGGGAGAGCTGTGGGGTAGAGGGGGTTTGGTCTGAGGTGCAGGAAAGCACTGAGGGTGGTGAGCGTGGGCACGACTGTGACTGTCCACAGCAGGGACAGGATCATGTTGTACTGCTGGTATAGATTAGTGATTATATCCTACCTGTAGTTGTGAAGGAGTGACCCAAAAGGTCTTTACCAGCAAGATCTCCTCGTGGCTTGAGTCTGTAAAACACAGAAAGCATTGTCTGGGGACAGAGGAAGAGATGGAATGTCTTTCCACAAGACCACTGATGCAAGCTCTTTACTCAGTAAATGCCCTTTGCTCCCAGTAAAAGTCTCTGATTCCTGCAAAAGGACAATTCTCTGCTCGAGCTGAAACAATGTCAGCAGATTTCCCTGGCAGATGTTTGTATTGCCTCTTAAACCCAAAGCATAAGAGCTAATAGTATGAGAATTGCAGCTGCCATTGAAACTGACTCTTCAGCCACGTACTCTCAAATCCACCCCATCAGTGCAGGGCAAGGAGCATCCCCTCTGCCACAGGTCAAATTCCTCTCTGAAGCTGAGAGCTGTGAGTGTGATAGAGGGAGAAAGGCGCTCTAATCTGTCTGGTTGTATTTGGTGTTTCCCTGTGAGGCTGTTCATCACTGCAGACCTTTCTCTTTGTTGGTTTGTGTTCCTCTTTCCCTCTTGTGCAGAACGTCACAGCCAACCACAGGATAAATGACACCATTGCCAATGAAGATGGGCCCCAGACCTTAACTGGAAGGTTTATGTATGGTCCATTAGATATGGTCACACTCACAGGAGAAAAGGTACTGTGTCTGGTTTGGGATTGTGCACCATGTGGGGGACAGGGACAGAAGTAGTGTTGGTTGGTGCTCCCTTGGTCCTGATGGGGTTTGTTACCTTTGCATCTTGGCCATGTTCCCCTGCTCAGACTTGTGTGGTGCCCCCTACCAGGAACAGTGTTCCATCATGGAGGTCTTCACCACCGAGGCTGGGTTTCATTCCAGCCTGATGGAATGAACCCAAAACTGATGGTTTGGTGCTTCTCAGCTCAGATCTGTGAAGTGCAGAGAGTGGAAACAGGATCCAGCCCTGCTGCTGACCAGAGGGGCTTGGGTGAAGGTGCCCATGCTTGTCCTGCTCTACTTGTCTGTGCCTCTGATGCTGTTGCTGACCCAGCCTTGCTGCCTTCCCAGGTGGACATTCACATCATGACCCAGCCACCGTCAGGAGAGTGGGTTTACTTTGACACTGAGATCAGCAACAGCAGTGGCAGGATTTCCTATGTCATCCCTGAGAACCGGCGCCTGGGCATCGGCGTCTACCCTGTCAAGATGGTGGTCAGGTACCTTGGGGTGCTGGGGCTTAGTTAGCAAGAGGAACAAACCAGGAATTTGATGACTGTAGAATATGGTCCCCCCTTATAGGGCAGCTCTGCTTGTTGGGTGGCTGCAAAGCCTGGTTTGCCAGCCATAGGGATGAAGCCATTTGTGTTTTACAGCTGTAAGAGGAAGATCCATGTTTTATTCCAAGTCCTGCATCATCAACAGCATGGTGACTGAGCTCCCATTGCAGGAGCAGGCCTTCTGCACCACTCACCTATGGGCTCATGGTCTTCTGCAAAACTGCACAGCTGGCTGTATTTTAAAGACCATAAAGTTGCCCTTGAAGGACAGAACTTTGTACTGGTGATAGTTCACAGCCCAGGGGCTCCAGCTCAGCCCCAGTTGCTGGTGTTGAGCTCTAGAAGAGGGAGGAAGAGATCATCTTTGCAGTGGTGAAGCCAGCAATGGTTTTCTGCAGGTGTTTTTGAGTCACTGACACCATGGCTCCAGAGTACTATTTCCATCCCCACTGTAACACAGAGGCCTCATGCAGTGCCCATCATTGGTGGTGGCATCCCTGTTACATCCCTTGGGCCAGATTTGATTGCTGCTTTGGGCTCGCGGTGCACTGCAGGAGATCTTGACGCCTATAAGTGCCTCTATCCCTCTCAGGGGTGACCACACGTATGCAGACAGCTACATCACAGTCCTGCCAAAGGGGACAGAGTTTGTGGTGTTCAGCATCGACGGCTCCTTTGCAGCCAGTGTATCCATCATGGGCAGCGACCCCAAAGTCCGCGCCGGAGCCGTCGACGTTGTAAGGTCAGCAGCAGGGCTGTGGGACAGTCAGTGTGGTTTACACTGGCTTTGCTCTAGGTTTGCAAGCCATTGACTTGTGCCTTTCCTTCTAGGCACTGGCAAGACCTCGGCTACCTCATTATCTATGTCACGGGCCGCCCCGACATGCAGAAGCAGAGGGTGGTAGCGTGGTTAGCACAGCACAACTTCCCCCATGGCATCGTCTCCTTCTGCGATGGGCTCGTCCACGACCCGCTGCGGCACAAGGCCAACTTCCTGAAATCCCTCATCACAGACGTAAGCCACAGATGGGCTCTGCTGAAACGTGATCACAGCACAGGGTTTAGATTGCTCCTCGTCCAATTGCCCCTGTCAGCACCAGTCTCTTGGCAGCGATGTGACCTGCAGTAGAAGATTAATCTGTTCATTTTATTTCCAGCCTTTTATGGCTCTACAGAAGCATCTACGCTGTCAAATTGTGTCATCTCTGCTCAGCACTGCTCCATTTCATGCTCCACCGGTCCTTCCAACACCAAATGTCTGATGAAACAGAGGCTGCAGGGCCTCCCTTGCCCATATGTGCACTTTTTTCACCTGTGTGGTGGCTCTCTGGCTGCCCGTGGTGTACCCAGCAGCTCTGAGAGCACACGGAGCTGCTGCAGACATGGCCTCGCACCACGCAGCCATGGTGGGAGGCTCCACAGAGCATCTTCCCAAGCGTTTGACCCCTGGGAGTTCTTAACCTCATTCAGCCTAGAGCCTCAGAAAAGCTACAGATATAACAAGGGGTTTTTCTGCCTGGCAAGTGAAGGAAGTGCCAGTGTCCGGAGCACTTGTGCCTGGCCTGGAATAGCAGGGAAGCCCCTCGTTAACTCTCTTGGGCCCTTGTTTCAGCCTGAGACACAGTGGTAGAAGAAGCTGGCCCTTACTTGCTGCCTGCTCTCCCTTATCCTCCAGAAGAACAAGTTTGTGACCAGGGTCAGAGATTTCCTTTCCATCTCCTTGGCCTGCCTGTGGCTTTGGGGGCAAAGCCAGCTGGTCCATGGTGGCACCAGTGTCCACTTTCCCCTCCAGCTCCTAAGCCCACTAAGGAAACCTTAGGAGCTGCTCTCTGCTCAGAGTGGAGGCAGGCAAATCCCTGGAAAGCAGCATATTTTCCTACCTGTCCCTTCTTAAACAGCAGTGTCCGTGCAGCAGCATGGCTGGTGGAGGGGAACACTCCCCACTAATGAGTACTGCAGGGGGTTGCAGATTGCACCTCTCCCCCCTAACAAGTCAGCAGTGAAGTGTGTGGTGTCTCTGCCCCCCACAGACATCAAGGGAAGGCTGTGGATCAGGAAGCAGAGATGTGCTTTTGTATCGCTGTTAACTCCTCTTGTTCTGGCCTGTGAACATCCCCAGCTCTGTTAATTAGTGCTTTGCACAGCGGTGCCTTCTCCAGCTGGGAACTTACAGAAGTTACTGAGCTGACATTCCCACAAATGCTCTAAAAACTAAAGCCCTGTCTGTTGAGCATGTCCTGACCACGTGTTGCTTTCTCTCCCTGCAGCTCCACATGAGGATCCATGCAGCATATGGATCCACTAAGGACATCTCTGTGTACAGCTCCATCAGCCTCCCGCCCACCCACATCTACATCGTTGGCCGACCCACCAAGAAGCTGCAGAGCCAGTGTCAGGTAGGAGCCAGCTTGTCTGAGTTGCCAAGGGAGGGCAATGGGAATTTGGTCACTGTTGGTAACCGAGGTCGTGTTTGCCAGGAGGATGGAACTGTCCCACGTACCAGGGCCACATAGGTCTGTCTGAGCGGTTCCATGCCTTGCTGGAGAACCTGACGTGGCAAAGATCAGGTTGTCAGTGGAGAGGTGCCTAACGCCTGCCCTCATCCCTCTTACCCCGCAGTTCATCACGGAGGGGTACGCGGCCCACCTGGCTCAGCTGGAGTACAACCACCGCGCGCGCCCTGCCAAGAACACCACGCGCATGGCGCTGCGGAAGGGCAGCTTCGGGCTGCCCAGCCAGGCCGAGTTCCTGCGCAAGAGGAACCACCTCCTGCGGACCATCTCCTCCCAGCCCTCGGCCACCAGCGCCGGCCACCGCCCCGAGCGCACCCAGAGCCAATCCGACAGCGACAGGGAGAGGGACAGGGAACGCAGCCAAAGAAGCATGAGCATCGCCACGGGGTGCTGGGGCCGGAGCGCAGCTTCCCGGCTGGAGTCTGGCCTCTTGGGGCAGAAGTAGCCAGGCCGGAGCCAGCGACTGTCGGCTGCAGCCACCGGAGGAGAAAACAAAAGGAAAAGGGGGATGAGGCCGGTGTTACGGGCTGGAAGGGTAAATATGGTGCTACTCTAATAACATCATGGTATTCTGGGAAGAGATGGGATGGTTCCCATGCAGAACGTGCAGGCCTTACAGTGGGAGCGTCAGGTTTGTGCAGCATGAGCCCAAGGAACAGCTGGAAATTGGGGTGGTGGGAGGAAGTCTCCAGGTCAAGATCGCACTCTCTCCTGCCTCCTTCTCTTATCCAGGTTTAGTGACTGTAAATACGTGCCTCCTCGCCTTGTTAGCCATCGCTCCGATACGCGTGACCGAGTGCTGTCCTCAGAGCCACAGGAACAGGGGATGAGGCTGGGGAACTTCTTGGTTGTCCCAGGAGTCAGACTGCTCTGCTGGTACCAGCACGGGGTGGGCTTGGGCTTCGGTAACGCTGTTTCCTGGCACAGACGGCCCCAGGCAAGGGATTTATCATGGGCTGTGCCAGGCAGAGCAACCGAGAGCTTTACCTGTACAAAGAGCTTCAAGTGCAGCCACTTTCTCAAGGAGAACGTGCAGTGGCAAAGCCTAAAAGCTGTGTGGATGCTGTTGGTAGGGGCAGAACGTCGGCAAGGTTCACACCTAAAAAAGTGGGGTCGTTACTGCTAGTACTGTTATTTTTTAAAGAGACCTTTTAGAATCCGATGGAATTCAATGCATTGACCTATTAAAAGAGGAATCCAAGCTATCTTGTTTGAGCTGTTACAAACCTCAGACACTTCCTTTGCTGTTAAAGTCTCCAGACATTCTCGCTATATATCCTTTCCGAAAGTAACCACCATGTATTGGGGAGCAGCTGAAGGCGCTCAGCAGCTACACTGCGTTGCAGTTCTACTCAGCAGAATGCAGGGTCTGACTCTCTCAACACCCACCTCTGAGGCGATTTCTTCTTCCCAGGTTCTCTCTGAGTTCAGTAGCAGCTTTCATGGGAAACCAGATCTGCTTCTTTTACCTGTAGTTACTGAACTGTAAAACCTCATTGTTTTTTGCACTGATGATTTTTAGAACGGAAACCTGTTACCATCTCATGTAGCTACACCCAACTGTTTGTAGTGCATGACAATGAACTATCGCTAAGCCAGGGTGTGTGTGTATATATTATATACATAATGTGCATATACATATGCACACACACACACATATATATATGTATATAGTTATAAAGGATAAAACTAATCTGTGCAGAAGTTTTCCCAGCAGTAAGGAGACTGTAAGGAAGTGTGCCAACGTCAGGCAACCTTAAGAAAAGGCCATATCTTAAAATCCCCTGGTGTGTTTCTCAGTGGACGTGCCTGAGCTGATGGTCTGTGTGCTGCTGGAGCGAGCCAGGGTGGGTGCATGGCAGAGGGGAGCCGTGGGTGTGCAGGGTGAGTGGCACAGAACAGCAGCAGTGGAGGAGAACAGTGCCTAGAGCGAGGGCTCACCAGAAGCCCCTTAGTCCTGTCCCTCCCGGCTCAGCCTGGCCCCAGGATGGGTCCAGTTCCCTCCTTGCACACACCTCTCGGGGCGGAGGGGCACTCACCCCATGGTGCCCATTTACAGACCCCAGCTGGCCTCGTCCCATGGAGATTTTATAGTCCTACCGAGCTCCCCGACTGCGTGTAACCAACCCCGCTTTCCCCTCCACTCTTCCCTGTCTTTATATCACTTTCTACTTCTGAGGATCTTATTTGTAACAGAGAATTTTGTAGACTGGCTCCTTCATTTTATTACCTGTTTTGATCCGAAGTGCAGGACGGCCGCACCGAGATACACAGCACTGTGAACGCTGCTCTGCTCACTGGCTCTGCGCCACGGTAGGCAAACCTTACCCCATCAGACACCCGAGGCACATCTCGTGGTCGTGGCGCTGCAGGGTCGAAGCGGAGGCAGAGTGGGGACAGTGCTGAGCTGCTGCTGGAGCACTGGAACCCGCTGCCCACCCGCTGCCCAGTGCAGCTCCCACGTCCTGCAGCCTTCACTGCAAACTGTTTAAGCACTTCTCTTTGATAATGACTCAAGTGCAGAATGTATCTGATGACTTTTGTTACCGAAAACTGACTTCCCTTCCTGCCGACTCGGTTCAGCTCTCTCCGAATGTACAGCCAGAGCTTGACTGGGTTGAAAACCAACGTGAGTTGTCCCAGCTTTTTTGCTAGCCGAACGTTCTAGCCAACAGATGCCATCTGAGTAGGAAGCCAAGCCACAAATCCATCCTGTGAAGTCACCAAACCACATCACACAGTAACTCCTGTAAATTTGGATATGGCCTTTGCAAAATTCAACTGCCCTCCAAGCCCACAACCGAGGCATGGTCTGTACATTACAAGATGTTCACATTTTCTTATGTGTAGATAGTGTAAAACAGAGGCGAATGTAAATGTTCAACATAAAAAGTGGATATATAAAATTGAAAGTAATTTATTTATGTAGAGGAAAAAAAACCACAAATGCCTGGAGGGACTGGAACCTTCAGGGTTTATTAATATTTAAAAATGTAGCTTTTTTGTTTCAGGCATTATGTACAAAGCAATTATTTTATGGACCAAGTTTAATGTAACGTCAATGAATGCAGAAGTGCAATATTATACTCACCTCTCCATCACTCCATGTTTTAAATGGCTACTAACCAGTTAGACTGACAATCATAGCACCTCCGTCCTCATCCTTTGTTGAGCTTCTTGAAACTTGCCCAGGTCCTTTCCCTGGCCCCCCATCCGTTGCCATTGTATGGATCCAACACGGAGAAGCAATTGTAGAGCAGGACCTTTATTGCTGCAATAATACCAGAGGAGGTGGGTGTAGTTACCAGGAAACACGCCAGTAAGTTTCCCTCCACCGATTCAGTCCATCACAGTCTACATTAATCTATCCTCAGCCGCCCCCATCTGGCACTCATCTATCTGAAGCAAAGATCAACATGCTACTCACTCAAAGAACAATAGCAATAGTTTAACTCTGTGTTTATAACCTGTTTGTTCCGAGCTGTTTTGGAGAGCAGTGCATGTGACCCGATGCCTTTCCACCTGTATGGAAGAGGACCCGTCTGGATGCAGTGAGGGAGAAGATGACTGTATATTCCATAAAGGGGCACTGTCAGGTTTAAAGACCTAATCTTCCCTTTTGTTACAAACCACTTGTTTGCAATGAAAACAATCTGAAGTTTCTTCGCAGCTCTGGGTGCGACCGGCGACGGTCGCGCTGCTCCTGCTGCAGCCCACGTCGTGTTCTCACCCCCGAGCACAAGGCAGCCCGCGCAGCACAGGCTGCCTCAGCCTTTCCTTGTTCTCCATTGTTTCCATGGGAATCAAACTTTGCTGCGGAGCTCAGAGGTTTTATAACGAAAAGCAGCTTTTTCTATTACTGCACTCTCGGGCCACGCTTTCTACCTGACGCTGTCCCTTTAAAGTCCTTTAAGAGTACAGGGAGCCCGTGCGCTCCCTCCGAGGCAGGCTGCTGGGCTCCCACATCCCTCCGTCACGATGAGGCGCAATCCTAATACCAAAAACGTTTACAGTGTCCGATACGCGAGCCGAGAGCAGGAACCGAGCCAAAGGGTGACAACCGCCGTGCTTGCTGCAGCAGCCCCTTCTTCAGGTATCGCCACTGTTTGCTGCATTTCCTATTAGTTCTAGAAGCCTTACGGTCCCCTTCCCTGTCCTCCTCAGCACCCTCTCTGCCTGTTGATACCCCCTGACCGTCGATTTTATATTCCAAGGATGTTAGTTCTATTTTTCTTTATACAAACTTGTTTTAGGGGTAACAGAGGCGAGCGGGGAACACCGGAGGCCGTGCCCGAGGGCGCTGGGTCCGCCCCTGGGTGTACAGCACCGTGCCGATGACTCGCTTGTGTGTGACAAACCCTCCTGTACAACTTCCTTCTCCTCCTTGCTGTTAGTGCATCGTTCCAATGCCTGGGTGTGCTTTGTGTACAGTAGCATTGTGAGTTACACAGATTAAAGAAATGGGAAGGCTCTTCTCTGTCTGCTTTTTTAATGGTGGGGGGGAAGACTCTAGAAACAGACAAGTCGCAAAACCCAAGTGAGCAGGGACCAGTTTAATGGGGTTACAGCCATGAACAGAACATGGAAACCGTGCGGATCAGTCCTGCAGGACCCGTTTGCCCTTTAGTCCTTTTGTCCTTTCTGGGTGTTTTACAATGGGTAGGTTTTTGGAGTTCACAGTGGGGAAAGGCTGGCTGTTTGTTTGCTTCACAGTGCTCATGGACCTAAAGAAGCCCAAAGCCCCAGTGCTGCCCAGGCCTTGTGCTGTGGGGAAGGGACACAAGTTGCATGCAGGGACAGCAAGGCAAAACCACCCCCCTGCAAAGCACCCCAGGTGAAGCTGCAAAGGCTGAGTAAAGCCTTGGGGACACGGTGAATGGTGGCACTTGAAGGTGCCTGAGCAGAGCCATGCAGCACCATGGCTGCTCCTCTCTAAGCAGGATTGGCTGAGTGCCTGCAAGCCTGCAGCACCAGGTAAGCACAGGCCATGCGGATGCAGCAAGGGAGGAGCCATGAGCAGCCCCTGAAGGTAAAAAGCAGCAGCCAGCTGCATATTTTGTGGCCCTGGAGCACACCTTGTCCTGGCCACAGCATTGGCTCCCACCCGCCAAAGCCCAGAGCTGAGGGGCAGCAGCACCTTGAGGTGCTCAGCACCAGCAAGGCCATCCCCTGGCTGCTGCTGAGCTCCAGCCTCAAAGGGGCAAGCAGAGCTCAAGGGCATTACAGCCATGCTGGCCTCAGGAAGGGGAGGGGAGGAGCTGTGTACTGGGAGATGCACCATTAAAGTCGCTCTCCTTCCCAGTTAGTAACTTACAGAGCAGCTGGAAATGCCCCCGGGGAAGCATCTTGACGTGGTGCTGTCTGCATGCTCCAGAGGCAGAGGCTCACACTGGGGCTGCCCCGGCAGCAGGATGGGCTCCCAGCACTGCTGGTGCTTGTGTGCTCACTGCAGCATCCCCGTCCTCGCCTGGAAGGTCAGCCCGTCCCCTCGGGTGGCTTGCTGCAAAGGGGGAGACACGGGTGCTCACTGCATCGCCTGCCCCAGGAGGAAGGACCAACAGCACCCACCGCTGCCGGGGCTCAAGTTTGTCCTGGTAGAGCCAGGGAGGAAAGGCACCACCTCCGGGTGCAGCTGGCCCCCAGATGCACCGACCCTCTGCTCATTGGCAGCACGTTCCCATTACCTTGTTAATCTCCTTGTGCCTCTCCTTGCTGACGATTTCTTCCAGTACTTCTCCATCTCCCTTAATAAGCCTGGAAGACAAGCACAGGCCCACGGACCATGAGGACCACGCCAGCCACGCTGTTTCCCAGATGGTACTGACCCCCCTGCAGGCAGTGTTTTGCCACCAGCTCCTTCACAGAGGTACGTGCCCAGGACCAAGTGCTGAGCTGCTGCACCTCCAGGTAAGGCCAGTGATGACCTACACCTGAAGTTCTATTATGTGACTTCTGTTGCTTAAACAACACGTCAGGCTTTTCCATGGCTCTTGAGGGACTGATGGCACCACACTGCAGCAAGGACAGACGTGGTCCCATAGAAATCAGCCTCCCTCTGGACAGGGCACCCATTCCTGTCCCAGGCTTCACTGTCACCAGCAGCAACTCTACAAAACCTCTTTTCTCACACAGGTTCAGGTCTGGTCCTGGCTGCCCCAGGGACGCACTGAGGCATTCAGAAAGAGGAGCCAGGCCAGACCAGAGAGCATCTCGCTGAGCAAATCCCAAGCAGCTCACACCTCCAGCCATGAGCAGAAACTTAATTATCTTCATTACACGCCTTGCAGGGAACTGACCTTTGTTCCACACCTCCCTGAGCCCCGCAGGCTGCCTTCTATTTAAAGACTGGACTTGTCATTCCCAATTCTCTTCAGCGCGGTGTTTGCTGCTTGCTGGGAAGATGCAGTTTACTAAAAACTGGGTCATTTCTATTTGGCAGCCAAATGAACTTGGGTTCATTGTTGTCTGCAACCCCAAGGGGTGCACTCCCTCCTCACCTGCACCTCGGTGCTAACTGGGGCCAAGTGCTTGGGAAGCACAGGAGGCAGTGGGGTGAGGAGGTGTCAGTCACCCCCTGCTTCCTGTTCTGCTCCCGTTGTACAGTCCCATTTAACAGGGACAAGCTGAACTTGTCACAGCACAAGGAACAAACCTCCTGCCTCCAGGAGCAGGGTGCTCTGTGCCTGCATCCCACAGCTCCTGCCTGGGACACAGCCTGATGCTCCTTGCATGGAGCCTCAGCACAATTTGGTGCCAAACACGTCACTTTTGGGGAGGTTACACCAGGTCTGACTGGAGGGGGTCTAGGAGGGATCAGCCTTTGCTGCTCAAAGGGACCTGGGTCCATGCATGGTACTGCAGTGCCATGGATGGGCATCCTCCAGGACTTAACCCACGCACCATGGATGTGTATGGAGAACCCATCTTCCTTTTCCTGAGGGATCATACCTGGTTCTCCCTGTTTCAGGATCCACCACTCTCCTGATGACGCTCTGCCTCGCATCCCACTCTTCCTTCGTCATTGGCTTCATAGCCTGGATTCGGGACTTTTGTTCATCTGTCAAAACTGGAATACATCAGTTAGAGCCATGACAGGGGCCAGCTCCTGCTGAGGGCGCAGCACCACGCCTGAACAGTCACACATGCACCAGTCTCCTGGTGGTGCTCAGGGTTCAGTGATGAACCATGCAGAGGAAGGGCCACTTCACATCCCAAAGCCAGTCCTAAAGGCAGTGTCTTAGTGCTGACTGCGTCCTTCCATTCGGCACCTTTGTCTCCTGCTCACATCTATAACTGACATCTAAACACAAATCAGCCTCTGAATGTGGCCCCTTATGTTTGCTTGATGTGGCCTGAAGGTGGCCACGGTTCACAGGAGGGCGGAGAGCCTGCGGCTCCTCCCTGTGCACAGCCCTGCTTTCCTCAAACACCCCACACTGGTCCCAGGAAGGGCACTGTGTGAGCATCCTTCCCCAGCAGGATGCCTGGGTGCACTGGCTTCAGCAGGAGGGAACCATCATCATTACCTGGTCCAGCGTCCACCAGAGATTCCTTCTGCCACTGCTCCAGCGAGGGGCCGGGCACTGCTTCTCCCTTGGCTTTCTCCTCCTTAGCCTTTTCCTTTGACTTCTTTTTTGACTTCTTCTTTATTCTCTTCTTCTTCTTGCTCCTCTTGTCTTTGTCTTTGGCTCGCTTTTTTTTGCTGTGTCGACTCTTCTTTGTTTTGGAGTCACTGTCACTGGAGTCACCAGAAGAGGAGCTGGAGGAAGAGGAAGACGAGGAGGAGCTGGTGGATGAAGATGCTGGCTCAGAGGAAGAGGTACTTGCCTTCCTCTTCTTTTTGTCCTTTCCTTCCTTCTTCTTTTCTGCAGTATGTAAGAAGAGGTTGAGTGCCCTGGCCCTGCAGCAGCAGGGATGCTGCTTATCCCCCTCCCAGCTTGGTTCCTGTCACGCCTGAACAGCAAAGCCCCCAGACAAACATCCTGTCCACATCACAGCGTGTGGAGCCACGCTACCAGACCAGCACAGAAGGGGCTGCAGGGCTCTGCACTTGTTGGAACCAGACTAAAATGGGCACAAATTGGACAGCAAGGGGGCAGACACCAATGTGGCTAGAACCAAACCCCTCTTTTCCCCCCTAGGCCCTTGCTGCACCCAGAAAATGGGGTGAAAGCAGGGGGTCACGGGCCTCTCCCCCACCTTCCTTAGGTGCTGCTGAGCTCGACTTGTGCCTGTGACACCCAGACGTCCGCTTCCTCGGCGGGGAGCTGCTGCCCTGCGGGGAGTCCTTGCTGCTCTTCCTCCTCTTCTTCTCCTTCCTCTCCTGTCTGCTCCGTGAGTTGCTTTTGCTCCTGCTCCGTGACCGCTTCCGAGCCTGGCTGTGAGCCATGGTGCAGCAGCCCCTGGGGGAACAGAGGGATTCAGTGCCATGGGGAGACCACCCTCGCCCAGCAGCAACGCTCCCACAGCCCCATACACCTTATAACCCAACCCTGAACCAACCTGCCCTCAAGCCCTGCTCCTGCCCCACTCCCCCTCTGCTCTCACTAGGCAGCAATAGCTGGGGTTACCCATCACACAGCTGCGGCCAAGCTGAGTTTCACCAACCCACAAAACAGAGCCCTCAGTGGAGAGCTGGGGCTGCACAGGGGCAGCACTGACACCCCCAGGCAGCCCTCGCCTGCCCTGGGACAACCATCCCCATGCAGGTTTCCCACCAGGTTTTCCACGTGCTTCTCGTGTTTGTCCCTAGGTGGGATGAATAAGAAGGAATCGGGCTCAGTCCCACCCAGGGGGCTAAGCCCAGTGTTTGCAGTGCTGTGCCCTATGGATGACCCCAGCAGCCACAGGCTGCCCTATGGGGCTGGGAGCTGTGGGGGGGACTCAGCACCCACAGGTGGGCAGCTCAAGGTGTGATGGCTGCTGCGGTGCCAGGCAGGAGAACAAAGCATCCTCCCCACACCAAACACTGACTCAATCCCCCAGTATTTAAGGCACAAGCCAACGGGAGGGATGAATTTCAACAGCCCAGTTTGCTGTTAGAAAGCAGGTTACACATGGAGCTGGCCAGAGATGCTGTGATGGATGCTACCACACTTCATTAACTGCACGTTTACCACCTCGGCATTCCCAAGGAGCGGTTTGCTCCCAAGTGACTCCCACCTTTACTGATTTCCAAATGGAAACCTCAACCACAAAGCAGGAGCCCAAAACAATCACGGATAAGCAAGGAAGTGTCTGAGGATGAGCTGTTCACCGACACGCAGCCAGGAGCCATCCCTCGCACCAGGACCTCACTGGTAGGATGGTGTTTGGGTTTCGGGTCTGCTCCATCCGTGGCCATGGCGACAGGACCTGCTTTGATGCGATGGGTGTGGAGCTGGGTGCAGATGGAGCATCCCAGGGGGATGCTGTGGGAAGCGGATGAGCCCCAAATCCATCAGAGCAGCAACACGGGCCGGTCATGGCCCGAAACTGGGGTCCTGCCTCTGCCCTGCCACCAGATTCATGGCCATAGTGAGCAGCTCCTCCTGCCCCCAAAGCTTCACCCGGGCCCAGCCCTTGGCTGCAATGGGAGAAGCAGCCCCTTCCCTTTGGCTCCAACACAAGGAGCCTGCTGCGTGCTGGCCCTTTAATTGCTCAGCAAGAGGTGTTCTGGCCCTTTAAGAGCTCAGCACCAGGTATGCTGGCCCTTCAGGACTCAGCACAAGATGCACTGGCCCCTTAAGAGCTCAGCACCAGGTGCGCTGACCCTTTAAGAGCTCAGCACAAGATGCGCTGGCCCCTTAAGAGCTCAGCACCAGGTGCGCTGACCCTTTAAGAACCCTGCTCAAGGCGCGACCCCTTTAAGAGTGCAGCTCTTTAACAGCTCCCCCCCATCGGGCACCACCGCAGCGAGCGGGCGGGAGCGCGGCTCTCCCGCTCCTTACCCCCCGTTCCCCTGTGCCCTCGGCCACGTTGGACGCTCCGGCCCCGCCGCAGGTAAGAGGAGGACGATCGGGAGGGAGGAAGGGAGGGAGAGAGCGAGCACGGACTCACCAGGGCCGGGCCGGGCCGGGCCCCGCCGGCACCGAGCGGAGCACCCGCTGCTGGCTCCGCGCTGGCTCCCCGCACACACTTCCGGTCGCCGTGAGCGGCTCCGACCGGCAGCCGAGCCGCGCTCTTTGGTTCCGGGGCCCGCCGGGCCCGGGCTGGTCTCAGCTTTCAGCTTCGGGTTTTTGGGGCTAAATTCGGGCGGGTTGGGAACCGATGACGTTTTCTGCTGAGGGAAACGAAGAGTTCGTGTCTGGGTGTCTTGAGGCCAGCCCTTTGGGTCCGCGCACGAACGCTGCAGCTGGTTCCCTTCCCCAGATGCAAATGGAATGGGGTTTGTTAATGAAAAGCTCATCAGTGCTCTGCGCTCATGGCATCCCCTAAAAAACACAGCGGGAAGGTTCAAATCAGCACCTTTTGTATGAGCTCACACTCACCCTTTCAGTTATCAGTGGTGCAAAGCCCAGGCGCTGTAATTAGTGCAGGTGAATAAATGAAAAAGCTCCTGCTACATGCAGCGGGGTGTGTGTACAGCAAATGTATTCCATTGATGTTCCATAGAGCCAAACGCAGCCTCTAAAACAAAAGGTATCTTTAATATCCTTTAATTTGGCCTGTAGAGGCACTGATTTCAGCAGTTAAACAGGGAAAGCACTTGACCCTCCTAATACAGAGCTGATCCCAAAAAGAAGCCTCAGGCTGCACCCAGGTTGAGTTACTTTACACCTCCACTTGCTCATGTAACTGAAGCAAGAGATCTAACTGTATGCCCCTGCCTTCCTCCAGCATGTTCTGCTGTGTCGCAGGTGGCTCCCAAAGCTGTCTCCAAAGCCTGTTTGTGCTTTCTTAGCAAGGTTCACCCTACCTTTGAAAGGGCAATTTCAGTCCAGAAGAGCTCGTGGAGGCACTGACATCCTCTTGGTCACCCTGCGGGATCAGTTCTCCCTGCATTGCTCCTGAGGGAGTGACGTGTCTGGCTCAGGTAAACCCCTGGTGAGGATAATTCCACGCTGTTCCCAGCAGCTCACTGTGAATCACCTGTATCTCACTTCTGAGCAGTTCCTTGCTGTCACTTAGAAACTAAAAGCTCTTCCCCTGGATGGTAAGGACAGGGCTTTATTGCACTGCCCTTTCCCACTTACAGTGGGACCCGCCATGCTGCTGTTGGCACCGAGGTCTTCACAGAGGCCAAACACCTTTGGGTGCTCTCCTTGTACACCTGAAAATACTTACAGAGCCTCTGCAGTGAATCCGTGTCAAGTCTTTCTGTGTCTCTCAAGCAGTCCTCCAGCCTGAGTGTGAGCCAAGCACCAGCTCTTCCAGCTCCCCAAGCAGGTGAGGCTTCCCCAACCCAGCAGGACCAGGTTTGCACCGCTTCCCAAGGTGGTAAAGTGCTCCTTACGTGACTTGTGCATCCATTAAAGAGTCTGAGAGGTCAGAAAGGAGCTTTAGGCAACTTGGTCTGAAGAATTCAGGCTCTACCATTTGCTACCCCAAGGAACAGAGATCCACAGTTCCAGGCACATCGTCCTTAAGGGTCTCTGTGAACCCATCTCCAAACCCCTCTGCTTCCACCAGCTCAGGTTTCTTGTTGCACATGGGGCAGAGCTGGTTGCGGATGGCAGAGGATCTCATCCAAACAATGAGGTTCCAGCGTTCCCCGGAGGCAATGGGAAGCGCCCCATGGATCTGCCCTCCTCGGTGTAATAGCCCCTGGGCTCCCATGTGTTCGATCTCTATGTACTTTGGCACGGGGGTAGGATCCTGGAACAGGAAAGGGAGGTGGATAGAGCATCATGCCAGAAAGTCCCTTGCAAAACAATGCTCAAACAGTTGGAACTTGTACTTGTGACCCCTTCACCCTCAGCATCCAGTGAGCAACAAGGAGAGGACTCGCTGTACCTCTGGAACGCAGCCACTTCAATGGGGGCTTGGCAGCAGTTTAATGCAGTTGGTTTCCCAGAGGGAATTTAAAGAGAGTTTCAACCAAAAACCTGTTTCACCAGTGTATGGGAGCTTTCACCCCTCTGTTGCCAGGAGTCCTCTGGAAATAGGGGCTACAGATTTAGGTTGAAGTCTCATCTGAAATAGATTGCTGCTTGCTCTCTCAGCACCTCCATGCTCACTATTTCAGCTGTGAAAGGATGGGCTGGTTTGTTCCACCCCAGTTTCTGTACAATTGCTGCCGGTCCTCTCTTTGAAGCTTGAATCACAGAATCACGGAACAGTTTGGGCTGGAAAGGACCTTAAGATCATCCAGTTCCAACCCCCCTGCCATGGGCAGGGACAGCTCCCACTAAACCATGCAATACTGGTAATGTGCTTGTAGGAGAACAAGGGCTCCTGTACAACCATCACGTTTTTAAACAGGGGGAAGGAACAGAGCAGGTTTGACTGTCAGAAATTAATAACTGTTTTATAGCACACACTCAATGCCTTGAAACTGGGGGGATGAGGAGATAGAGGGAAACAGAACCAGGGTCCAGACTAGGAATATACCCAGTACCTGGCTGAGATCCCCAAAGTACAAGTTGCCTTCTGTGAAGTCTTTGCCCAGTGAAACATTTAAGGTGACTTCTGCATTGTCATAGTGAGAGCTCAGATCCAGATCTTCGTGCAGTGAGTACTTGACAACAAAGGCCTTGTGGCTGTCCAGGCAGGCACCCCCCAGGTCGGGATAGAGCAGTGCTGTTATGGGCCGCAGGTATTTCTCACGCAGGGGTGTGATGAAGGTTTCATCCATCCCAAGCTCATTCAGCAAAACCTGTCCCAAAGAGAGGAGAGGAGATGGGAAGAGCTGATCAGCTACATCTGCTGCTTCATCAGAGCTGTCTTGTTCTCTCCTAACCCTGCTGCTTGCTCAGATAAAGAACTTCAGAGCAAAGGCTCCAGCTACAGGCAAAAGGAGGAGGATCAAGGTGGAAAGTGATGGGGAAAAGACAGAGTAAGATCAAAAGTTGAGCGTTCTTTAAAAACAGACTCCTTGATTTAAATGTGTATTGCTTTAATACAAGGTGCTCTTTGCTCTGAGATACCAACTCACATCCCCTTTCCCTGCACGCCCCTGTCCTCTTCTCTGTGTGACACATTGCATCAACCCCTTCACTTCAAGGGGGCTGTATTCAAACTGCACTGTGCTCAAAGTACAGGCATTTGGAAGGGAAAGGAGCACGAAGTGAGGATGTGAACAGAGTCTGCTTGTGAGCACTCCCCCTAAAGAAGCGCAAGAGACAGTGAGTCCTACCCCATAGTTATTCATAGTGTTGGGCCTGCCTTTAGGCATATCCGACTGCTCAAAGTTCTCCAGCTCATCCACAAAGGCTTGGCAGAACTCCTCTGTGAACACTGGGAGCCGATAGATCCTCTTCTCTGCCAAGAGAAAGGAGACACAGGTTGCTGGGGAAAATAACAGGCGAGAGTGTTCTTGGCTGCCGTGCTGCCTGACAGGGAGAACGCAGGACCCATGTGCTTTGCTTTGTGCTCAGCCTGCTCAAAGGGCTGGAGCCATTCCCTGGGATCAGCTCTGAGATCTGCTTCTCATTTTTCATGTTGGGGCCTCGTTTCCAGGCTTCCCCATCCAGCCAGGATGATCCAAATGCTTGCTCTGTGTGCCAGGGAAATGCTTTGAGAGAGCCTAGAGGGAGGGCAGTGATCGAAGGCTCATCACAGGCACCCAAATGCAGCCTCGTGGAAGGAGGAGGCTGCTCAAGATCATCTGGGGAATGTGGGATTTCCTCATCCAGTGCCAGCCTTCTGGGAAAACCAAGCTTTCTGATCTGCCTTTCAGGGTAGAGCCCTAACAGTCTGTGTAAGGGGAACTCAGTATTGAGGATACAGAAGCTGAGATAAGGACAGCATGGAAAGGCTGTGTGAAATCGTGCCTTGGACAAATCCAGCAGCCCTGCACATACACAACATTTGTGTCTTTCTTTTTGTCTGGAGAAAAGGAAGCAAATTTGCAACTTTCCAACTCCCCATCACATTTTGTCAGCTTTTCTGGCACAGAGGGAGCTTCACAGATGCCTCCAGGGAAGCTTAAAACCCAGATTCCTTTCTAAAAGCATGAAATCTAGATAGAAACAGTTTCAGCTCAGACTAACCAACAGGGATTGTCTGAAACGGTAAAGCACTTGGGGAGGGAAAACCAAGCTCCCGGCGCGAACTGTTCCTTCAGCAGGCTCCCCTGTGAGGCTGTGGTACAAGCAGAACCCCAGCCCTGCTGCAGGATGAAGCCTCTGATGAGACATCAGCAGACTGGGACTGGAGAAGCAGAGAACAGCATCTTACCCAGAGCAGAACCATGCACAAAACTGCCTCTTCAGGGATGCTCGTCAAGCAGAAAATAACATCCTGTTTGTCTCAGCTGTGTATCACATCTGAGCTGTTACAGACAGGGCTTGAATCCAGCTGTGAGCACTGAAGCTGCAGTGTCACACAGGGGGATCATAGAATAGTTAGGGCTGGAAAGGACCTTAAGATCATCAAGTTCCAACCCCCCTGCCATGGGCAGGGACACCTCACACTAAACCATCTCACCCAAGGCTTCATCCAACCTGGCCTTGAACACTACCAGTGATGGAGCATTCACAACCTCCCTGGGCAACCCATTCCAGTGCCTCAGCACCCTAACAGGAAAGAATTTCCTCCTTATATCCAATCTAAACTTCCCCTGTTTAAGTTTTAACCCATTACCCCTTGTCCTGTCACTGCAGTCCCTACTGAAGAGTCCCTTTGTGGCTTTGTGTTGTTTTCTTTACCTGAGAAGCACTCGAGGTAGCGCAGGAGGCCATGGAGATGAGCGGTCGGTGACGTGGAGTACCTCACAATTTCCAGGAAGTCAGGGGACAGGAATGAATCCTGGCATCAAGGGAAGGATGAAAATACACAGAAACACAATTAGTCTGCAGAGTAGTTTATCCATAGTTATTCCCATCCAGTTTATCCAGTAGTTATTCCCATCAGGGAAACAGACCTCCAGGCACATAAATAGGTAGAACCTAGGGAGCAAGGCTGATGACAGTCACAGCTGGGTTACTTCTGTGACAGGATGTTACTGGTGTTTCTCTTGATGCTTTAGGTAAGTTGCTGCTTGCTCTGGTTCATGTGTTTGAAGTGTAACTGACCAGATGTATTCTTGGTGTGATAGAAAAGAGCCTGGCTTGCATTATGGACTCCTAATAGGTAAATGCAAAGTTGTTCCTAGTAGATTTAGCATCTTGTCATGGCCGCAGCACACCGGTGACTATGCTCTGTGTTAAGCACTTCCCCACACAGATCATGAGAGACAATGTCAGAACTTGTCACTAAAGGACCATGGGGCAGGAAATCTGCACGGACTTGTCTGTGCATTGCTGTTGACCTGTGGTAATTATCCAGCTGGGAAGCCTTGTGTCTGGCAAACATGAGGATATTCAAAGCAGAGACGGGCTACTCTGCCTTTGTGGTGGGGTGCATATGTGCAAGCAGCCTGCTGTCCCCCCCTTCAGCTGACAGTAACAGGTAACGTGTGTGTTCAGCCCATAAAGGCTCATTTCTGTGGCTGTTCATTAGACCCCCACTGACCCTGTTTGCTGCAATAATGCTTTAAATTACTAATGGTATTCTGAGTACAGCTGGTATTCTGGTGCAGCTTCAATGCAGAATGACCCTTATCTGGCTATAGCCCAGGTGGAATCTTGCCTGGAGAACATGCTGTTCTATGAAGGCTTTAAATTCAGTCTTAATATAGAATCATAGAATAGTTAGGGTTGGAAAGGACCTTAAGATCATCCAGTTCCAACCCCCTGCCATGGGGACACCTCACACTAAACCATCTCACCCAAGGCTTCGTCCAACCCAGCCTTGAACACTGCCAGGGATGGAGCATTCACAACCTCCCTGGGCAACCCATTCCAGTGCCTCACCACCCTCACAGTGAAGAACTTCCTCCTTATATCCAATCTAAACTTCCCCTGTTTAATATGCTGGAGTTCAGCTTTCATTCAGCCCAGCTGTAGCACTGCGTGCAGTGCTGAGGAGAAGAGGGCTTCCTACAGCAAAAATAAACTCCTTTGGGTACAAACCAGATTCCAAACACGCTGCCTACCTGCAGAGTGTACACTTCTGGGTGTTTTCTCTTGTAGCACTGTGAGATGATGGCTTTGCGTTTCACTGACTGATGAATTAACCCTCTTCTTCTGGTCACTTCTGCCTCGATCTACAAGTGAGCAGCAGAGGATGCTGTTAGAAAATCAAAAGGGACAACTAAAACAGTACCAGGGATTTACTCATTGCTTTAAACCAGCTATTTTTGTTCCGGGCACCTCTGGGAGACAGGGTTTGCCTTTGCTTTGCTGTAGTCAAGACAAGGCCAATAAACAGCTGAAAAGCCAAATGCCCCAGAGGGATTTGAGACAAGTTCTCATTACAGATGGCTTAAAAAAACCAACTGAAGTCTGTCTCTGGATGTGTCACATGGAGCTGTGAGCTTTCAGGCATTCAGACACCTCCTGGAATGCCAGCTTAAGAACCTGGCTTGTGTTCTGACAATACAAGCATTGTCCAACATAAAGGCATTTGCTGGGAGGAAGAGAGGACTTGTCATGGAGGGATTACTGCGAAGGGTTGTGTGGACAGGCTGATCTGTCACTGCAGAGGAAACAGCTGTAGCACTACCTGATTCAAACAGTTCTTCCTATTTAATAACCCTCTGTGAGATTAGTTTATAGTGTTCCTTGCGGGGGGGAAGAAGGAAGGATGGTGTGCTCCAGCCCCTGGCAATGTGCTTAGAATAACACTATTTTATAAGGAAAGCAGCCATTCTAAGTCACCAGGGGGTTCCCATACTCATTCCCTTCCCCTCATTACCAGCCCCTGAAGGTCCTATGAACAAACCAGATTTCTTCTTCCCCTCCCTACCAGCCTCAAAGTTCCTGGGCACCAGGACTGCTCCGTTCCTTATTGGCCTTGAGGGTCCCAGGTACGCATGTGCTGCTGCTGATCTCATCACAGAACAGGGAGCTCTAACAGCACCCACAGCAGTGCCTGTAAATCAGCAGCTACAAGCCTTAAATGGGGAAGTTGAGCTGGAATTGGTGCTGGGCGGTGAGGGCTGTGACCCTTCCATGGCCAGGGATACCCCCATTGTTGTCTGCTTCCTCTGAGGACTCAGTGACTTGCATTGATGTATATGACATTTGAGTCTGCATTATGATGGTTATAGTGAGACATGAAGCCGTGCATTCATATCTGACCTGACCTGCAGAGGGTCTGGGTGATCAGAAAGTTAAGTTAGAAAGCATCCTTTATGATCCAGACATCCAAAGTTCAGCTGTGTTATAAACTGTGCTTATTGTGCTGCGCTGATTCTGTCTGCAAGAATTCCGTGCCATTCTAATGACGAATTCTTTACTAATCATAACATCCTGTTAAGAACATGACATGTTAATTGCAGCTATGATTTAGAGCCGTCAGCACCCTGCCAAGAACCCCTAAATGCCTGTCCCCTTAGCGTCGCTGCAATTACAGCCGGTTCCGTGGCCTCGAAAGAAACACATTCCTCCCTAAAGAGCGCCTTGGGGGAAGAGTTCTTCCCATCACCTCCTTCCGCAGCCCTCGCGTGAACCCTGCCGGCGCGATCCCGTCTCAAGACGCCCATTAACAGCGATTAACGACACACGGGACGAGTTAAAACAAACCGGACCCGCACCAAAACCTGGGAGCGGCCCGGGAGCACTCCTCAGTAACGCGTTCAGTGTTTACCTTCAGGGTGCTGCCAGTGCAAACACTGCCCTCACCGCAGCGGGGAATGCCCTCCCTCGGGCGCCTGCCCATCCCGCTTTGATACGGGCAAGGCTCCGGGGCCCATGCTCCGGCGGTGGGGGGGGGGGGTTAGGGCCGAACCGCGCTCACCTCCCTCAGCGCGGCCCCGAAGTCCTCCTCGCTCCGGCAGCCCCGCTCCCGCAGCGCCTGCAACACACGCGGCCCGTCAGCCCCCACCCGGCCTCGGCCGCCGCGCCCGGGGGAAGGGTGCCCGCTACCCCCCCCCCCCCACGTTACCCGCCCGTAGTCGCGGCGGAGCTGCCGCTCGTCCCGGTACCGGACGTGCAGCCCGTAGCGCCCCACGAAGATGTTGTCGGAGAAGAAGCAGGCGCAGGCCAGGAACGGGCGGCCCGCGGACATGTTTCCCACCGGCGGATGGCGGCGGCGGCACCAAGTCTGGGTCCAGGCGTCAAACGGCTCCGCCGTGTAGCGGGAAGAGCCGCTTCCGGCCGGGAGGAGGGCGCGTCGGCAAATTCCGATTCTACAAATAAACGAAGAGAGATAAAACTTGCCCGTTTTCTCCCTTTTTATGCTGGATTTTGTGTCATTTCGATAGCGTCACCGCCACCGCGGCGATGCCGCGTCACCTCCACCCCTTCCTTTAGGGGGACGGGACCGTACTTCCACACCGTGTCACCCGTCACTGCTGACCCGGTGACAGAGCCGCCCGAACGGCGCTGGCCCCACAGCGGCACGGCGGGCGGGATCAACCGCTGCCTTCTCTGAACGGGGAGGGAAGGACGCGGGGCTGAGTCCGCTCGGGGTTCAGCGGTGGGTTTGCAGGGTTGCCATTTGCAGACGGTCCCTTAGGAGCCGCCGCCGCACCACGCCCCCTCGCGGGGTGCTGTGCTAGCGCGGCGGGGCCCGAAGCGGCCCGGCCCGGCCCGGCCCATGGTGTCGATGGAGGCGGCGCTGGCGGTGGCCGAGGAGGAGGAGGTGGTGGTGTCGGCCGAGTCCTGCGGCCACGGCAGCAAGTTCGAGGACATCTACCGGCTGCTGGCCGAGGGCTGCTTCCCGCCCAGCTTCTGCTCCATCAAGAGGAAGAACCTCAAGCGCTACGCGCAGAAGTTCGTCGTTGACGGTGGGGGCACCGCGGGACAGCCCCGGGGGAAGGGGGGGGGCACAGGACAGCGGCCTTGGCGTGACCGTGAGGAGAGCGTGCCCGCGTTGAGAGCCGTGGGTGGCCTCAAAGGGGGGTGAGGGCAGAGGGAAGGCCCCCAGAGCATGGGGAGGGCTTGGAACCGCAGCCTGGTTGGGGTGGAAGCGACCTTAAAGCTCCTCCAGCTCCAACCCTTGTCACGGGCAGGGACCCCTTCCACTGGAGCAGCTTGCTCCAAGCCCCTGTGTCCAACCTGGCCTTGAACACTGCCAGGGATGGGGCAGCCACAGCTTCTCTGGGCACCCTGTGCTATCTCCGTGCCTTGGCATCACCTCTGGGGTGCAGAATGGGCATTGCGGTAACCCGGGGTAGCAGCACAGGCTAAGCCATAGGTGACCTGGGAAGACCATGGCAGCAGAGGAGTTTGCTCAGTCCTGGGTGCAGAAAAGAGGTCCCTGGGCTTGTTTAGGGGTGATCCCAGTGTAACAGCCTCTCCAGTGGTGCAGCAGAAGGTCCCAAACAACAGCCCCGCTTTGTTGGGTCTCACCTGGTTTTCCTGCTGTAGAAAATGACCCTTTCCCTGGGACTGAGTAGGTGGAATGGCCGTGAGAGGATCTTGTTTCGCATAAACCTCTCCCATTGGCAGGTGGCTGCCTCTACTACGTGGGACCCAAGAAGGAGGAGAAGCGGGAGGTGATCGTGGATCCCGAACGGAGGAGGCAGGTCTTCCTGGAAAGCCACTTCACTGACATCGGGAACCACCTGGGACAGAAGAAGACAGTGCACCGGATTCAGAGCCGGTACTACTGGCTTGGGATTGTGAAAGATGTCGTGGACTGGGTAAGTTGAGAGCATCGCCTGCGTCAGTGACACCAGGACGTTCAGGCAGTCCCCAGTGAGCAGCTGGAAGAGCCCTGCTGCAGGGACAGGGTTGTTTCTAGCGTCTGGTGCTTTAAAACAGGCACTGGGTCACTCTGCAGGTGAAACTGGTGGAACATCCCAAGGCAGCTGGGTAGCTTGGATGTCTTTCCCCCAGCATCAGGGAAGCCATGTGGGTAGGACTCACTGTGCCAGTTTTGGCCAGTGTGGCAAGATGGGATGGTTTCAGCCTTGCTGAGTCTGCCTTTGAGCAGTCTGGATTGCTCCCAGAGCTGCCCAGTTCTCTAAACTATTGTACCAGGAGGAGCTCAGGGTTCCTGCTCATTCTCCTTGGCTGCTTGCCTCGCCTGTGTTATTGCTGAAGGCTCCCTGCAGCAGGGCGCTGCAATAGTGTGGTTTGAAGAAGTGCGGTTGCGTTGCATGGTCCGAGCAGCCCATGCTGCATCCTGGGGCTGATGGTTTTTCTAGCTGGCAGTAGGAGTTATAAATGCAATAAGTATCTGCCTACAACCAGGGTGAGAAATGTCTTAGCTATAGGCCACATGCTGGAAACTGTTTATTGTGTCAGAGAAAGCTGTCAGGTAAGGATGTGAAAGGTGAGCTCTGTTGGCTTGTTGTGTTTTGTTCTCTTTTTCTTGCACCTCACTGTTCTGATTGGGTAGAAGGAAGCTGCTCAGATGTGCTGCGCACCTCATCCCTCCATAACCTGCCCAGTGTGAACCTGACAGAATCCATCAGCATGGTTTAAACTCCTTTGGCACGTCTGTTTCCTTTCCCAGATCAAAATGTGTGAAACATGCCAGAACGCAGAGCACAACAAGAACGTATCGCGGAAAGCGAGGCCTGTCAAAGCGGAATCACCCTGGGAAGTGCTGGGATTAGACATTCACGGTGAGCATTTGGGGCTGACAGGGTGTTTGGGGCTGACAGACAGGCTTTTCAAGGCTTCCCCGTCAGCTCGCAGGCAGCGTGGCAGACTTACTGCCTGCCACACACAGGCACGCGAGCGAGAGCTGCTGCGTCTGTGTGAGGAGGTGCCAGAGAGGCCACAGCAGCCTTCCAAGGTGCAACCTGATCCGTGTGACCGGCTCTGCTCCCTCTCCACACACAATGGGAGCTGTGGGCGTGCGTTCCTTCCCAGAACTGAGCCTGCAATGGGTGTATTTTTGCTGACAAAGGTCACAGAAATGCATTGGCCAAATGACATTGCAGAGCGGAGTCGCGGTTGTTCTCGCAGTGATTGTTTTGCTGGGCTGGGTTATTGACTTTCCTGATTCGGGTGATATTACGGCATCACATTGATTTTTCTTGATGCTTGTTTATGCAGGACCTTTTCCTGAGACAAGCCAAAGCAATACACACATCCTCCTTGTGACTGACTATTTCACAAAGTGGGTTGAGGCTGCTCCTCTGCAGAAGAAAGATCCTTTATCAGTGGCTAAAGCCCTAGCTGCAGTTTTTTACAGGTGGGCTCCTCTGTTGTTGGTTACATTGCACCTCTGCAGTGAGATGGGGAGTGCTGGGATGTGTGCTGCAAAAATACCCAGCATCCACAAGTTTGTTCCCCACAAGACCAGGAGCACTTCCTTACACAGGAGACACTATGCAGTGCCTCTCAGTTGCTCTTTACAAAGTACTTGGGAAGAGCCTGTTCTCCTCTTACCAGGGGAGGGGAGAAAGAGGCAGAAGTAGTTCTCTGAGTAGCCCCAAAGCCAGTAGAGCTGGTGCCCCAGTTCTCTGCAGACGTTTTAAAGCCATTCCCTGATCCCTCCTAGGAAGTGTTTATTTTGCACTCACATGGGGCATGTCACCAGGTGACATTGTCCTTGTGGAAAATGCATGTGGCCAGCAGAGATTTACATTCAGAGCAGGAAACCTTGCTTTATCATCCAAAAGCAAGCAGGCTTGGCTGTTTTGAACAGATGGAGCCAGCAGACCTCTCTCTGCTCTTGGCGAGGTGAGGCCATGCCAGCCTCCTTAGCACAAACTGGTGGAGGGTCTCTGTCCTTTTCATACCCCATTATCACCAGTGCAGATCAAACTCCTCTGGCTCTGCCCTGCAGCTGATGGAATTAAAACCAGTTACGTGTCCTCTTCTTGTTCAGGTTTGGAGCATCCAAGAACATTTATGCCAGTCAGAGCTGGGACTTCTGTGAGGAGGTAGGTCTGGTGCTGGGTAACCAATTATAACCAATAATGGGTTTTTTTGGGGGGGTAGAGCTGCAGTATGCCATGTGTAGGGCAGTTGAGGAGCTAATGCTGCCTTTTCCCTGCCCCATTCCTGTTACCAGCAGTAGATTATTTGCCAGCTTTCAATCTGTCAGGGATTTAAGGTTGTGGTTCTGTGGTGCAAGTCCTCCAGCCACACTGCAGCCTCCGAGGGAAACATCCTGTGAGATCATGTCCATGATATTCCTGCCCTACCCCAGGATCAACCGAGCTTCCCATTGCTGTGGAAAGCCTCGAGCACAGGAATAGTCATTGCAAAACAGTGTCTCAGGTCTAACTTTCTTGGGAGCTTTTTCTGCCGAGGAGCATCTCCCGGCACAGGGATGGTGCTGTCTTGTGGAGGATACGAGCTGCTGGGGTGCAAACCTGCCTTGTTGTCCTGTGGGCATGTCCCCTTCTTTGCAGGTCAGCCGGCATTTATGTGAGCACTGGCACATCTCTCAGACCCTCACCCCTGCAGACCCCGCAGACTGCACAGGCCTGGACGACCGCAGCGCAGAGGTGCTCAGATCCTCCCTCTGCAGCGTGGTGAATGAGAAGCCCAGTGAATGGGACACTCACCTCGACCCCGTGCTCTTCGATTTCCGCACCTCAGTCAACTCCAGCACAAAGTACCCCCCCTTCTTCCTCATGTTCAACAGATACGTGTGCCTGTCGTCTGAGGTAACTTCTCCACAAGGGAGAGTCTTGTAGGAGGTTTGCCCCTGGTGCAGCTGCAGAGTAACACCCAAATGTCTGTGCCTTGTAGGTGGATTTTGTCAAGGACTCTAAAGAGCAGGGGGCTGGCTCTGGAAAGGCAGACAGCCTCCCGCCATTCACAGCTGCGGCTCAGGAGCAGCAGAACATGGTGAAAGAAATTGTAAGTCTTGGGGTGCCTTGAAGTCATTTTGCAGCTAAATAAGTCCCCCAGGGTCCCTTGCACCAGGCTGTACAAGAGCTGCATGGAAGGGCTTTGCCCATACAAGAATGGTGCCTGCTCACATACTCGGAGAGAGCCCCTGCCCTATCCAGAAATGCTGCCTCTCCTTTGCCTGCAGGCTTTCTCCTGTCACCAAGCATAGCAGGGAGCTGTCAGGCTTCAGCAAGGTTGAGGGGCTGTGTGTCCAGCTTGAAGGAGCAAGGCAGAGCCCAGTTCAGCACTGCCTGGAACTCCCCAGGCCTGGCCTGAGAGGAGGTGGCACCTCAGTGGAACTGAGGGCAGCAGG